TTGCAAACGACGCTATTTATAGCAGGGACGCTTCGTTCGTGCGTCTTTTTTTGTTCATAGAAAAAAGTAGAAGAAAAATTACAAAGGTAGAAACAAGAATTGAATAAAATATGAAGTAATCTACCTTTCCTTTAAATGGGAACCTTAAATATTCAGAATCCACCTTAAAAATCGCCAAAAAGTAAGGATGTTTTGAAAATCCTTTTGCAAACGATACTAGTTTAGATCACATCACCGAGATCACATCACATCACCGAGACTCTAAGAGATCTTCACTGGCTTCCTGTTGAGGAGAGAATTGTTTTTAAAATAAACTTCATAACTTTTAAAACATTGAATGACTCCGGTCCCCGTTATCTTGAAGATATTTTAAAATTTTACCATCAATCATTGACATTACGGTCACCAAGGGATCATTTACGCCTTGAAGAACCAAATTTTAACATGAAAACTTATGACCAGCGAGCGTTTTCCGTTGCTGCCTTCCGACTATGGAACAAGCTCCCCTTTGAAATTCGAGCTTGTTCTGATGTTAATCTTTTTAAATCTAAGTTGAAAACGTTTCTTTTTAAAAAGGTATATGATATTTAGTTTCATCATATTTGTTTTTGTTTTCTTTCCTTTTTAAGATGTTTATGCTATAAATTTCCCAATATGTACAGTAGTGTTATATGTAAGCTTGTGATTAATGATATTCTTTTGTCCTTTTTTACATTGTAAAGCGCTTAGAACAGCGATGTATAAGCGCTATATAAATTCCATTGTTATTATTATTAGATTCCAGACCTCTCCTGTCTCTGCACATGCGCAGACGTTATTCAGCTCTGTCCTGAGGGCTGATACATGTTATTCTTCACTTAATAAAAGGAATGCTGCCTGTCCAATTTTCATTCTACTTTGCAGTAGTAGCCACGTGTAGTCATCGACTACCTCTTTTTGGATGTAAATATACATGTATCTTTGTATGTATGACAATCCATGTATTTCACCGAATTTGCCTCGATTTCAAGTACGGCCTTCGAAAACGTGGCTCTTTCGTTCGCACTCAATCGATTCAGGAAGAAAACAAAAGATCACTCAGAACACAAATGAAGTGTGATGTGGAAAACTTTAAGCCCAGGAGAAATCCCGTTTCGTATGGAAAGCCACCATTTTGCAAGCAAAGAGTATGAATGTAAGTGAAAGTAAAAAATTTGAACAAATTGAAGCGATACGTTTCTCAAAATATTTCAAGCAATTCCTGGAACCGGTACTAATGTTGGTGTTTTGGCTAAATTTGTATTCAGCCAGGCTTTGTTGTATTTATTTAATTGATAAGGTGCTGTAGTTAATAAGAATTTTTCTAGAAGGTGTGAGAAGGTTTGTTTTCCCCTGGTAACGTTTTATACACGACGGAAACAAGGTTGGAAATCACTCTTTCACTCACTCTAGCGCTCGCGTGCTTAACCCTATCGTGACCAGGTTTCAGACAAATAATACCCTGATTTACTCTCATGGGCTTTTATACAATATAGCTTGATAATATATAGATTTAGCCAGGGCTAAAAGCGAAGTTCTCGTTAATAAATTCATAATTTAAATCAAACAATAAACTTGTAATCCACAGATCAGGGCACATTCATTTGACTTTTGAGGCAAAGGCTGAGTGATTTTAGAGAAAAACAATTTGACAGTCCAAGAGTGAAACAATTTTTACATCGAATTATTAAAATAGTCTTATTTGTACACCCAAAAATAGCAATCATGTTCGATCAGAGTAGATTAGGCCAGGAAAACAAATAGATCTTTTCGAGTATTGTATTTGCATTAGCTGTTGCATCATAATGTGGTATTCACCTGTCTCTCCAACATTGCTCCGTTAGAGAGACTATGGATATTAATATAATGTTAAGAAACACACGCGCCACGATAGTCCTTGGTGGCAGCCAATTTACAAGTTGCATTCCTATGTCTAAAAGAGAGGCCAAAATAAAAATCAGGCCGGATTTTTTGTGCTCGGCAAGTTTAGGTTACTAGTAAATCTTGGCGACGAATCTGGTGGCGCGTAAACCAGCATTTTAATCATACTTTTTCTCATCACGTCTCAGGTAAACAGTACTATGAGGCCCTTTTTTATCATACAGACCTCAGACAGAATTTGTTCTTTTTTGCCCTATTTAAACGTATAATTCTGCAGTTTTTCACAACTTTGCGAGAGAATTTGCACTCATTCAATATCCACGACGATCAATGCACGCGCTTCCTTTGCACAATAAATTATAGCATTGAATTATAAAACGTTTTCATGAGGAGAATTCTATAATGCCGGGACTTTTCAGTTAGAGAAATCTGGTCCTATGTGATATGCGGGGTAATAATTATGGGCTTTTAATGAAAACGATAAAAAAAAAAATTCCCAAAATCACTTTTCGGCCAGTCGGACGGGTTCTCACTGTGTATGGTTTTGTTATGTGTAATCTTTAAAAGCGAGTGATATTTACGCGCGGCGTTTTGAGTATTCCTGCGTGCGATGTATACGTTCGACTGGAAACAACCGGTACAGCGATAAAAATTGCGAGAGGGACTACAAACAATCAATAAAATAAATATAATTCGGTGAAACATGTACAGAGACAATAATTTTCATTCACGAAGAGAAGTATTGAGAGTAAAGTGTCTCTGGAAATCATGAGTCAGGTAAGCATAAGCTTATTTATGATTGAAGCGGGCTTCCCAGCGTTTGCTCTTTTTCAAGATGAACTCGAGGCAAGAAAATCGCTCAGAGCTTTCTCTTTACAGCCAAAATCATAACTAAATAATCTTCGGAACCTTTTCTTTGAATTTGCGGTCAAAAAATGTCTAAAGGCTTTTTAAACCTGATACTATTGTAGGTTAGATCATTGCTCGTGTATAAACTTAAGCCGCATAAACCATACACTTGACTTCAAGAAACCGAAAAAAAAAAAAAAAAAAAACACATCAAAGACAATAATTGCTCAGGCTTACCAGTCGAGATGCTGCTTCTGAAGGTCATCAAGTGTTCCAGAATCGCTTGAGACTTTTCAACCCTCTTGTGCCTCAAGCAAAGGCAAGTGAGTAAGCTCGTTTTTGAAAATGATGTCATCCGAAATCGGATTTCCAATGACTTTGACAAGCGGTGCATTTGTCAACAAAAAGCGCAATAAACAAACCAGCCATGAATTACAGAACAATCTTGATAGCAGTTATATTTCATTTTGTACACCAACTAGAAAAAGATAGTTTAAAACATCACAAGATGACACAAAACTCTGTCAGCTCCAGCTATCAGTAAGCAAGTTACCAGACGCTACATAAATTTTCCGCATGAACTCACCTGTCAAATTTTGACCAATCAGAACATAAAAATTGGACGTAGAGCGTGATCAACGCGTGACAGTGAGAAAAGTCAAAAGTGATTGCCTTCCCTGCATGTAAACGTAAAAGACGGTTGAATTTTCGCGTCCGAGGTCAGTTCGAAATCAACATTTAAAACTGCGGCTCATGAACACAACTTATTTCATATGCATTTAAAAAAAAATTGAACTTGAGCCTGCGATCATTTGAAAAGTAGAAACTTGTCAGCGGATACCTTAAAAAACACTCGAACTCAGTGGGTCGATAACCTGAGTCCGCGATATGGTCAGGTGATACTGGTCAGCAAGAAACACTATTTTGACAGCTGTCAATTAATCAAAACATGGATGTACAATATTAGGTTGCAGGCTCCCAAACTAGCTAGAAAGTGTGAGATTAAACATTGATATGCCTGTGGTGCGGACGGACAAAAGGTCGGGTGGTCGGTGTACCGTCACGTGATTGCCGAATTTCCTAGGAGGGATAGATTTTCTAAGCTAAGGGGCTTCGAATTGAGCCCGTGATCAAATAAAATGTCAGCGCAAAACTTTAAACACCACGTGACCTCAATGGATAGAAAAATGAGCCCGCGATACACTCAGGTAATGATGGTCAGCGTCTACTCTAGTTTGACAGCTGTCAATTAATTTTCAATAGAATGGCGAATATTCGAATTAACAGACTACGAGTGTGAGAAAGACATATCCGTCCGGCACGTATTGGAAAATGCCAGATCGTGTACCTGAGCGAGCCTGGGCCCACGTTATTAGTTTTCTGATAGTGGTCTGCACATGTCCCATTTTGACAGCTGTCAATTGACCTTAATTTGGCTTGCCAATATAACTTTAAACGACTGTCAATATAACTTTAAACGACTGGTAAGTGTGACATATTATATCAGCTTATATGTAGGGGCAAAACGACTGGTCTTTCATCTGAGCCCTCGAGATGATCATGTGATAACTGTCAGCGGATGTCTGATTTTGACAGCTGTCAATCTAATCGTACTCATACGGATGGCTTACATAACTAAGAGGTTAGTCAAGTTGTGCAAGATCTATTGTGACATTTGGCATCGGCTTACATGAAGTGTGTGTACGGGTGGGCGGGCGCGCCGGCGGGCGTACTCTACGTCATAACCAAATTTTCTCTGATGGTTAGTTTACCAAATTTTCGAACCAATGGTGCTCCGCTGCGCCCGCGCCTCGCGCGCGTGAGAGCTCCGCTATAAACACTTATTTTAGTTCAAAGTTCAGTTTTATCGATCGCCTTCGTCTCGTGTAGCGTTACATGCACTGTTATTTGACACGGCCGGTTAATGTCAAATATCAACAATCGAAATTAACTGCAATGGATGGAATTTCCCGGTGCAAATTATTTGAAATATCATACTTTACTCGCAGCACTTTTCTTTCCACTGGAAACTATTAGTTGCTGCCGGGCATCAGCCGGCAGCGGACCATATTCTTGAGCGATTTGAGATTTTTCGTTCAGTGGTTCCATGGTTCCGTGGTTCATCTGTGACTGCAGCGCTGCTCAGTCAGCGGTTTGCTTAAGCAAGTGCTTAGCTGCCCCGCCTGTTTGTCTCTTAGGAGCAACCCGCAATTTGGTTTTGCTCTCATGTAAGATCTGTGCAGAAATCGTAGTTTATCGGATACTTGCTGTCTTTTTAAACGGCCTAAACGGTAAGAACAGTTCAAGAAGTATTGTACGGAACATTTTTTCGGTTTATTTTTTAGCCAGGTTTCAAGATTAGTTATAGCGAGTATTCTTTTGTCACAAAGATTGTTATCTCGGTAATCAGGATTGTAAGTTACATAAGTGAACGGTATGTGCTGTATATCTACCTGACCTGTGAATAAACAAGTTTTGGCCTTCATGTTATTTGTTCGCAACTCATCTCACCCTGTGTACGATGATTGTTCGATGAAGAAACAGCCTGTCAGCACTGCTGTTGTTTTAGAATTTCGTGAATTATTAAAATAAATTACAAAATGGTATTGAAACCCTAGCGAGTTATATGAATGTAAGCATATTTGTCATCGTGATCGGTTCATTTTTTATATTACGCTCTGAGTGTTTCATAATGCCAGCAAGTCTAAGTTATTGACTTTAATAAAAAAGAATTCATATGTTCAGCTGTTCTACAAACTGTCTTTGTCCTATTCGCATCGCAACTAACGGCAGCAGTTCCCTTGTCGATGAGAACTTCTAGTTTATAGGTCACGTGATAATGGTAACGTGACAATTTTACAAGTAACGCACATACATAGGTTGTATGTCCAGGCCGGAAGGTTGCCATGGCAATTGTGTAATTTCACATGTGAAATTACAAATTAACGCTGAAATTTCGCGCCAAAATTAAGGAGTAATTCGTCACTTATGATATTACAACGGTAATTCTTTGTACTGTGATAAAGTTCCATGTTGTTAAGGAATCTAAGGAAGCTTTGCTGTACTTTGTGCAAGACTTTCGGTCTAATCCATAGTTTATTGACAGCTAAATGTATTGATTTATCTTTGTTAATCGACAACCTCGTCCCCAGGGTCTTCTCGCTTTCCAATATAGCGGCGACAGGGGAGAAGACCCTGGCACACAGCAGAAATCACGTGACTGATTTGTCCACGGAGAGTGGAAATTTATTCAAAATGGCGGCCAAGATAAAGAGTGAGAGGATCTGGGTACGAGGTCTTGAGACTGGTGAAAAACAAACAAAAAAGCGGCAAAGGCAGAACTCAAAAGAAGCTAAAAATATGAAAGAATACACTTACAAGCCACAGGAATACGGTTAAATGATATAGCGATCTTATTTTCTGTTCAATGACCTTCATTTGTTTTAAGCCTGAAAGTTCTAGCGCACACGGCTGTCTACAACTTAATTTCTCGGTACCGACCTTTTTTTGCCGTACCCTGAGCGCCAGAGGTTCAGGTTTCTTCTTTCGTGAAAGGGGGAGCTTTTTCTAACCTTGAGCGCAATTTATTTCTTCATGTTAGGAATTTCGAGAACAGACCTCTGAAGCCAGGGAATTTTCTGTCATGACGCTCTAAGACCTCTTCCGCTCCGAAATTCAACTAAGCATTAAATTGAGTCGCAGACACTTTTAAGCTGATAAGTTATCGTCAGTTTTGTTACAGATCTTCTTGAGGTTTTTGACTATTGTTTTTCTATCTGCACAAATTTTAACTGAACTCTGATATGTAAAAAAACAATTTTTTTTTCTGAAAACAAGAACCAGAGAACACTATTTTGTTAATATAATTTGAGGAAACTTTGGTTGAAAATTAAACAGTTCCTTGGTCAGTTTGGATATTTTGTCACTTGAACTGGTACAGGTAATAAAATTATTGTCAATCTTCATCTACTTCACAGTTTTTAGACTTTGTTATTGGCTTTTGATATTTAACCCCGTTCACAGTGCTTCCGGGCAATAGAGATAGGGGCCTTATTTAATCTAGCAAAGACGGTGGTATTAGTTCCCCCTAAAAAAATGCCAAGTGAAAAAGCCCAAGTACAAGACGGTTGGAGGTCAAGCAGCCGAGGATCAAAAACAAATCCGAACTTCCAGTTGGTGAATAAATCATCCTGGATCGGTCCACAGAAAGCTTTACAGTTTTCATTGATTTATACAGTCTCTTATTTATTAGTGAAGAATAAGAAAGGGGGGGGAAGGTGGGATGGGGGTTAAAAAAGACGGGGCTTATTGTTAAAACTTTCTTTCACTGAAAAGGAGGGCTTATTTGAGAGAGGAGGCCTTAATAGAGGATTTAAGATGTTGTTATTATTGTTTTTTTTTTGCCTCTCAGATGTAAAAAAAAGCATTAAACCCGCTTTAATAGCTAGCAAAAGGTGAAGAGTGTTTCCATTGTTTCTAATATAGTAATCCAAAATGTATTCTCCACTTTGAAATAGATTTGATTTTCAGAGCAAAAACTTTCTTAATCCCTGACTTTGGTTTATTTGACATATTACTTGGGGCTGCACTTTGCCATGTCAATGCGCAAATTGACTAAAGGCTAGACTCCAGTTGTTCAAAAATTTGATAGTCCTATCTGAGTCATGTGCGCAGTAAAAGTTCCTATCTCATTTGGAGATAATAGATGTTTTAAGTCAAACATGCTTTGCTCGTCAGATGGGCCCTTTCGTACTCTAATTGAGACATGACTTGGTAGTGGTGTGCTGATTATCGATCATAATTTATAAAGCATCAGAAACCTAAAGCAAAGTGAGTATTGCTTATACAAATGTTCAGTTGATTGTTGTGGAAAATTCACAAAAACATTGTTGACAAATAAGGACATTAATTCACCTGTGTTGTCTTTTTGATGGGGTCTTAATTTAGTTTATATGATGTTTAGTTGGTTTAACTATGTGACAGATAAGCCTTCTTACAAAATTATTTTCAGTGTTGAAAGTGGCACACAGGGGGCACAAAACTATAATCTACTATAATCGATTATCAGTTTAATAGTTGGGTTAATCTGATTACTTCTGACGATATGATTATAATACAGACACTATTACTAAGACTAACCAACACCTTAAAGTAGACTTGGAAAGTATCTAAGCCAGCACATCTAACAGCTGCAACCTCACACCGCAACACCTAAACAAGCCAAAAGCCTTGCCTTGTCCCTGTGTGGCATTTTCCAAGGCCTTAATTCTTGGTCAATTCATTTCGGTGACTTATCTTAGGCAAACTGGAGGGAAACTGTTTCACTATTTCGCTTGGGACCACGCGATCTAAAACTCATTGGCCATGACTAGGCAACTAAAACCTCACTATGCTAATGGGGACTCTGGCACAAAACACTTCAAAAGCCTTTGCATCCCGACATGAAAAATCCCATGATCGAGATGCTCCAGGCCCCTTCCGCTCTTGTTTATTCAGTGGATAGTGATATATGCACCCTTTGAAGTAGTTTATTTTTTTAAATCCAAGTTTTAGAACTGAATTATAGCTGCTTCACAATCATACCCAGCTGGTGTTGGAATACTACAGTACCAGCCACTTTTTCACCTGGTCCACAAACCCCCTTTTCAAGGATATAGTGACAAGAACAACATGCACACTTAGCCTACAGTAATTGGAAGCTCAATTGACAGGTTTTAGTTTGACAGAAAACGTATTTATCTTGGGGTCACTGTCACCCCATGTCTGGAATCTGGGAAATTTTTCTCTTGGAATCTGGAATAAAGGTCCTAAAGTACTCTGGATCCAACTTATAACTGGAATCCGGAATCCATGTTCCACTGACAGAGAATCCAGAATGCAGTATCCATGGCGCAAAATTGAGAATCCAAGACTGTCAGATTTCCTTGAATGGGCTGATCACTGTTTTCAACTTGATAAAATAAAAGACATCATGTGCTTTCATTTATTTTATTTTTGCAACTAGAAAGAAATCCCACAAGCTTCAATACATCAATATGTAAGTTTTTCATTTCTGAGAAAGGAAACAGTTTATTTTCCCAATGTCTCTGTATTTAGCTGTATTTCACTGCCAATGAAATGAGCAAATAATAATAAATTATTATTGTGACACTAAAAACTGAATAAATGAAAAGTCAGGATTAAAAATATCAAATGATAGCGACACTATGTTTGGCTTCAATTTTTAGTTGTGTTTCGACATCTGCCTCTCTCGCTCCTCGTCCCCCTTCAAAATCACAATGGAAAAATTAAAAGAAGGCCAGGTTAGGCCCATGAATGTTACGATCAAATGAAAAGAATGTTTCACTTGACAAAAAACTGCTGAGACAAAGCGCAGATTATGCAAGATTTCCGTATAACCCCATACATTAATAATATTATGCATACAGCTTTTGTTCAAAGAAAACAAAAGGCAGAACAATACTACACCTTTGCAACGGGCAGCTAAATTTACTGATAAGCTGAAGCCTTGCAAGTATTCTTTCACAAGTCGGGAATTAAAGAAACAAATCTTTAGTAATTTTCGGAACACACAAACCAAATAGCACGAGTAACAGAAATACCTCTACGCGTTATAATATTCCCAGCGATTACCAGATATCACTATATTCGAATCTTTGCCTTCCAACGGTACAGTCACAGTTTTCCGAACAATCAGACCTGAATTCTGTCCACCTTTTAGGTCTCAAACACTGAAGAAAGCACTTCTCAGCCTCTACGAAGCCCTCAAAGGTTAACCATCTTTGTTTTGGAAGGAATAAACCAATGAGAGCGCACGTATGAACGCGCTATGGAATGCACCAATCAGCGATCGTTTTAGTTCGCTGTGTGCCAGGGTCTTCTCTCCTGCGGCCGCCATATTGGAAAACGAGAAGACCCTGGGGACGAGGTTGGTTAATCGACTACAGTACGTATTTCAAGGACGTAACACAACATAACTATCGTCAATTCAGTTCTGTGTCTGCTTAATAGAGGTTTTTAACGATAGAAATTAGCCAAATACAATTTATTTCAGTGTCCGCCAGTCCACTTAATAGAGGTGTCCCCTGATTAGAGGTTCGTTATAAAGCGAAATATAAGACGTTAATTTCGGGACCTGGCTTAGTGTCCTTTTAATAGAGGGTGTCCGCTTAATTGGGGATCCGCCTAATAGAGTTTTCACTGTATTTTGCTTTCTTGAGCGTTTGTGACAAGTCTGATCGTGAATTGCTTAGTCATGTGCAAGCCGCCATGATGATTTGAGCGTTGTTTTTGCCCAAGTTCTTCGTGCATCCGTTGCTGGTTACTTTTAGGGGTTTTATCGGATTATTTTGGTCATCTTGTTACTTCAACCTTTCTTCTTTGCAAATTTCGGGTTCCACCCGGGTCTAACCCTGTTAGTTTTCCCGTTAGGAGCCGTTGAAAAGTGTCTTGAGGTATATTTTATGGCTGGTGGCGCTGCTGGAGGTCTGTGACGTCACCATTCGCCATCTTGGCCACCATCTTGGATTTTATCAAGAATTAGAAATCAGGTAAAACAGTGAGAATTAATAATTTTTTGCGCTTCACTCGAAAATAACAAATAATTACTCTGCATCATTTTATCCACAAGTTGTACTTTTATTGTTGAAAAAAGTTGAAAACATGCATTTTCACTCAAAAATGGCTTGACCACCTGCTACTTACGACGTCATATCTCGTAACCATAGTAACTGACCATCATTAAACTGGTCTCAATATGCGCGCGAGGGATAAGCGAACAACTACAGCGAACTTCAGGTGCTGATGTTTTATCGTCTAGAAAAAAGAATCAGAAAAACCTCTAACCACCCCCACATAAGTACAACCATTAACCACAAAGGACCGCAAAGGACCGCAAACGAATATGCCTAAGAACGTAGGTTCTATAAAGATCTTATCAGCAAAAATAACAAGTAGACATTTTAAATTCTGCAATTAGCAGAATACTGCTAAAATGTCCCCACATTGTACGTCCGAGGGCTAATAATGCTGTGTTGCGTTTTAACTTGGCGTCAAAGCCTGTGATTCGCCAAGAATTTTTAGGCCTAGGCAAACGTCGAAATTTTCATGAGACGAACCAAAAACTCTAATTTGGGTCGACCTAAATTAAGTTAAGATCGTCTGTTGGGTCAGAAGTCGAACTTAGGACGCGTCTAACCAAACAAATGAATCAGACCCCAAAAGTGATTTTAAAACTTTTTCTCCCAAGCAAGGCTAAATATAAGTTATCAAAAAGTCATAAGAAGTTTTAAGAAGAGAGACTAGTGCTAAGCTGGCTTTACTGTACTACACTGTAACGTGACTTTAGCAAGACTTGGGTTCAGACGTCGAATTTAATTAAGTCCGTCGAATGAAATAGCTATTGTCGAAAACAAGGAACAAAATTAAAAAAAACCTCTTTAATCAACTTTCAGTGCATTATTCAAATGCATTTATGATATATGAATTGAGTTCGGCAAAGCAGTAACACGACGTTTGAAACCAAATCGTGCAAAGTGCGCGCCGTGCTTAAATCGAATTTCAATCGGCACGGCGGTAACATGACGTTTGAACCGGGTCAAATAGTGAAAAAGCATGTGATAAAAGATTTCTGGTCCGATTTTTTTTACCAGATAACTTTGGCTGGAGCTTACTTTTCCTAATTTTTCACTTAATTGAGGCTTTGAATGTGTTCTTAATGCTCTTTTGTTAAGTCAAACTTTCTTTTACTTTGAAGTTCCCAAGCTTTAAGCTAAATCAGTTTGCCTGGCAAAGCACAACTTTTGTCGAACCAACCTGGAAGCATTAGCTACTTTGGTCACTGCGTACATCTTAATTCATTAATTTCTTGATATCTTTATTTCTGACATTGTTCCGTAGGGTACTTATACAAATTAAAATTCCAAAATAAACAATATGTAAATAGAGCAAAAACAATAAAATTTATCTGTTTGCCTAAAGCGGACCGAAGCGCAAAAAGAACTGAGCAGAGCTGGAGTAGAGCTGAGCAGATGGCACAAAATATTGAGTTTGCCCGGGAACGCACAAACTGCATAATGTAGTACGTTTTATTGGTTTGAGTAGTCAGGGAAATACTCACACAGGTAGTCGGAGGAATATTCTTTAATTAGTAAAAATTTTTACAATAAAGTCGCGTACTTTTGACGGGCGAGTGTTTATCACCCTGAGAAATCACCCATTTCATCTCTAGACGCATTTCCCCCAGTTGTCAACCTAAATTCTGCCTTCTGTAGCCTTAGACACCTAACACAACATGTGCAATAATTGAACAGAAGCATCCACATATGCTCAAGACTGTATTGGGACCTGTATTACATTCAAAAGCGGAAACAAATGTACAATTCGGTTTGCTATTAATAGATGATTGCATCTCCTTATTTCAACTGTTATTTCATTTCTAATATCAATAATAGTAATAGTAGAATTAATTCAATAATAATAATTGTAATAACTTATATAATTTAAATGAAGATCTGGCTCCGCTATTGATTACTGAGCCACAACACTGATTTCGAAATATCATGCATGACATGCGAAAATTATTACATTTTACGTTATTACATTACGCGTTAGAAAGGTTATTACATTTTGTGCGGAAAATTTTATTACATTTTGCGGAGTAACACATGACAACTGCAGAGACAAATCCCCTGCGTTGCTTGGATTCCTTCAGAGCTATTTAGAAAATAAAGTTTATCATTTTAATTCAATTAATAATGATTAACAAAACAACTGTAACACATCTAGATGTCAGTCATCTCTACTACCCTTACAGGCCTACGTACGAATAATTTTTGATAAAAAAAAGGTTTCCAACAGCTCGTGCATTAAATAGAGCAGACGCTAAAGAGTATGACTGTTTCGTAAAGTAGGTTAAGAAAGCGAAAAAGCCGGGGGGTGACACATTAACCGCAGATGAAAATCTCGAAGTCTTGTTGTTTTATTTCGTTCCACGTAACTCGATCGGACGAATGACATAGCAGGAATAATCGCCAGTGTGTGCAGGGTAACACCGCCCTCTTTCGATTAAATGAAAAAAAATATATATTGATTTTATTGGAAAGAGCGCCGCAACGCTCTGACTTCTCGGTGAATGGCTTATTTGAGCGCAGCGCAAAATATTCTAGCGAGTTATCACCGTTGTCATCGCATTTAAAGGCTTTACTACATTTACCTACTTTTCGATCAGGTCAATTTGTTACATTTGAGGGCTTCGCAGTCTCAACTTAAACTTACCCCTGCCTCTAAGGTAACATTTTGGGTTAATATGTAGATGGAAAATGTTTTTAAGTGTGCTCTAAATAAAGTTTTCTCGGTAAGGTCAGTAGCCACAGACTTCTTTCCACACAACTTTCATATAGCTATGATTACTTATCGTAGACGTTATAGGATACTATGACCTTATACGTAGGATAAATGAGGAAACTCAACGAGTGTCTTTTCTATAGATACAGACCTGAGAGTCTAATGAAAGCTTTAGCAACTAGTTTTGCCCTGAAAGGTTTTGTCCAGAATAACTATACTGTATTGTGTTGCTTTTTCAAGGCTTTATTGAGAAAAAGGAAGGTAACTATGAGAAAATTCCACAAAGATATTCTTCAAACGCACTTCCAGGACCTCGTGGAAGATGTAAATCCAGACCCAGTGATGAGGTATTTGTTTACAAAGGGTATCATCAGTAAAGAGGACATGGAGGCAATACGTTCAAAGGGCACAAGTATTGAAAAGAATGAGGATTTACTACTTCGACTGATGAAAAAAGGCCTTGATGCTTTTAAAATGTTTGTCGAAGGACTGCAGAAAGATCAATCTTCTTTAGCCGAGACACTTAAAGACGAGGGTAATGAGTCTATTTTTGTTATATTGCTGGAATTTTTTTTCCAACAGCGCGCGCCCTCGTTGGATACTTAATTCGAGGTCACAAGACATCTAACAATGAAACTGTTTTTCCGCCAAAGTCTTTGAGAGGGCAACACTGCAAAATCTATGACGTCAGAGGGTAACAGTACCCGCGAATGTTGACCGCAATAGTCCGGGAGCTGGGGGACGCTTTGCTTAAACCAGTAGACAAAAAAGGTTTGAAGATTGATTTCGATAGATTGAGGCACCCTCTTTTTGGCCAGGTGGTTCGTGGTTTCAAATTCTGGTATCTCTTGGTTATACTGAGCTATGTTTTTAAAAGTCGACGACAGTGAAAATGAATTTGACATGAAAGCGAGGCTGAAAGATGAAACTAAATAAATTCTAGAGACGCACTCCACAAGAAAACCAGCATGCTCATATATCTTCTAAGACAGTTTTCCAAGATACCTTTTAACGAAAGCACCGCCGTTTTAATAGAAAGCGACATGATAATTACTGTCTTCTTCTGAGGTGTATCACAGTATCTTTGTTCAAGGGTGATAGAATCTTCAAAGTTTTTTATACATTATGCAGAGCGTTTTTCGTGTTTAACAATCCATTTTCATACAAAAAAGACTAATTTCTTTCAAATTGTTGTATTTTTTACTAAAAATTCCAGGGCTAAGCTGATATATATTCATTTTTATTCAGTCTCGATTTCAGGGTAAGGGAAAAGGGGCTGTTGGTACGAGATTAAGGGAAGATAACAGCCACCTTTCAAGCCAAATTTTTTACAATACCACTGAAACTATGTAAAGTATTATCTGATACTGCATTTACGTCGTAAACATCTCATCTGAGCATTACATATGACAGATTCCTTGTCAGAAAAAAAAAAACACTACGCTCTCCTACGAGTCACTTGACGCATTCATCGTCCCCCATGCAGAGGCAGCTGGCCTAAATGACGCTAAAAGCAACGTTTTTGTAAGAGCAATTGGCTCGTCACAGAAATTTATCACCGCATTCTAAACTGGTAAAAACAGCCTTTTGGACATCAGATCGGGTAGAAGCTGATTTTCCTTTACCATTTTCCATCCATGGCCGACAGGTGACTGTAAGTCTTGAGAAGCTTCTAAAGTTCCAAGACTTAATGTGGAGAAGAAGACTTTCCGATGTTTGCGGCGGAGATTCGTTTTTGTTTTTTGGTGGCAAAACGTGGTATGGCGCTGTTCGATCATCAGCACTAACTTAGACTGGGAAACAAGTTGCAGATAAAGGCACCTGTTTCATTTGCCGTCCTAGTTCGGGCCTATCCGAGGGTATCAATTGGGTTAACCGTCAGCCGTTTAGAAAGATTATTTTTAACGTCACTCGTCAAAATTCCAGATCAATATTAACCGTAAAAAGTTTCAAGGTATTTTCAGCTGATATTCATGGACTTCTGGCCACTGAGGGAATCTCTAAACTGGAAAACTAGTCGCCGTGTTATGAAACAAAATGTCTCTAGTTTCTAGAGATTTCTTAAGAACTTGCTTATATCGGAAATTATTTAGTTTGAAGTGAACTGCTAAGACAAGCTCCAAAGTACTACAATTAATATTTAATTTATACGCAACTTAAGGAAATTCACCAATTTGTTTCTAACTAGCCTTTTTACATGGAAAAATCGTCAATCTCGTAAGAACGAGATATAATATTTAATATTTACTTACACTTTTCGATTTCCACTTAATAACCGTCAACTGTCAAAAAATTCTTAAACTTAACCGTCAATCGTCAAAATTGAAAAAAAAAAAAATTAACCGTCAAAGCTATCATCCCATTGAGACCCTCCTATCTATTCTAAGATTTCCTGGTTTCAAATTTCAGAGCAGGAGCTCATGGAGTCGCACCCAGTAGTAAAAGACATGGCTTGCCTTACACAGCTGTATTCCAAGACCGGCAGCGATTTTGTGTACTGGAATGTGCCTCATTGTATCTTTAATTCCGGCACTGAACCACCATTCTTACAACTGAATGTCTTTCCTAGACGCCCCTCTCTAATAAACATCCCCCTGTCTAATAATAGACTCCTTCTATCTGAAAATTACTCCAAACTAGTAGGGATTAGCAAAAAGGAACAAAATCATTCAATTCATTCAGTTTCTAGCTTGATTAACAAGGTTTGGTGTATTTCTTCTTGCTCAATGTCAAGTTAAAGTAAGGATAGACTAACAAAGGCAACACAATAACTCTGAGGATCCCTGAGCGAAGATTCTGACATCGACGTTGGGTTTTTAAAGAGCAATATATGGATCCCTAGACGACCTAAAGGTCGATAAAGATATTAATTGATGGAGTGGATATTCCGCTATTTTTAGACTCTCTTGATATCTTTGCCGAAAGTATTCCGTTGTGTTGAGCTTGTTACAGTAATGAGAATTAAACGCCACAACTTGGACCCCTAAAATTAAATAGCCACCCTTCATGGCGTTTATTAGGTCATTTATGTCGGTATCAAGTGACCAGATGATTACTCTTGCACCGTCCTATGACGCATTTTTGGCGTGTGATAGGAGTAGTTTGTCAGCTTCGTCATGATCTGCATGCCAAAAATGGTACGAAGGTTTCATAACATATTTGCTTGTATATGAGAAAATACGAAAGGAATGCAACAACGTAAACTTTCTTGAAGTTTGAGAAGTTCAGTCTTGGCAAGTCGTTTAGAAACGTTGTCTCGGTGAGTTTATAATTTTGATCTAAAATTGGCGATGGAAGATTTTCAAGCTTTATTATCTGCGTAACAGACGATCCATTTAAAAAAAAGGTGTAAAAGGGAAATAAGTAGCACCCTTGCTTTCACTGTCTTTATCGGTTTTATAAGACTAAAAATAATAACAAAATCTTTTCTTAATTATTAGAAAACGGATTCAAAAATAAGACTGACTTTAGTGAAACATCAAGAAGTACAATTCAACCTTTACACCTTTCTGCTTTTAAGTACATCCCTCGTCGACGGTTTATGTCTTTTGTTTTCATGGTGACGGTTTAAGCTTAACATGCCTTTGGATCTTTTATCTCCTGGAGGTTTATTTATGAACACACTTTTGATCTGATTTGGTGGGAGATTATTACCAGTCACTGACTGGACACTGTTGTTTGTGAGTAGATGTTTCAAACAAACGTCTGTATAACAATCACACATGCACGTAGAAATGTCGCAACTCAGTTCAACGACTGTTGATGATCAGCTTCTACCCATTCTGATGTCCAAAAGGCTGTTCTTACAAGTTGGCAATACGGCGATAAATTTCTGTGTCGAGCCAATTGCCCTATTTAGGATTTTGACCAATCAGAGCGTAACAATGATAAACTTTACAATATTCAAAAAGATATCCTAAATAGGTCTAGATAGCAGCAACAATATAGATAGCCGCATAAACATAACAACTTTCTTTAATTTACCAGACATGTTTCGATGGTACATCAAGTCATCTTTAGTGTTTCATATTTTGAAATCGCCGTTGAATTTAAATCGCGCGCGATCTTACAAAGTTCGTTACATTGCGTTGGCAATATTGCGTACTGGAAACTTTAAAATTAGTGACGCTTAGCTACTTACAGGAAGAGAGTCAGGTTTATGTGTTTCACCTGCTGCTTGAGGTCGGGTTTCTCCCAGTTTATGAATATACATTCTTTGAGCTTTACCCGGTATTTAGGTTAAAATATATTTCTAAATATATTCAGACAGTAGCCAAGGGAGAGAAAACACAACCTCACTCAGGAGTCGAGCCCCTGGAAACACCTAAGTTCTATTTTAAAATCCCTTACGTTGGGCATTTCTCAGTCACGTCACAGAGAAGTGTTCGCAAACTTGCTAATCAGTTATGTAAACCTATTGATATAAGGCTTGTCTTTACTACTTTCAAAATCGAGAATCTTTTTAATGTAAAAGATGTTGTCCCTGAGGGGCTTCGCACCCGTGTGGTTTATAAATTTTCGTGTGCAAGTTGTAATGCTTGTTATGTTGGTGAAACCAGGCGACATTTCTCCACACGAGTGCGTGAGCACTTACTTTCCGACAGGTCTTCGAACGTGTTTAGACATCTGCAGAGTTCAGAGTCTTGCCGAACATCCTGCTCATCCTTCATCTGGACTGCTTCCAGACCCTGGACTCTGCAGCTACTAAATACAAAGTGAAGCTCAAAGAATCTATGTTAACGCGTTCCAAACTAAAATGTGGTGTTCCAATTTGGTAAAATTCAGAGCAAATACTGAGAATCACCTCAAAAATGGCTGCCTTTTCCACTTAAAATAGAAGCCTGTCTCGAAGAAGAGTTTTTTTACGTTGCAGGTTTTAAAGTTCCCTTAGAAATGAGTGCTAAATTGGCTGGAAGTTAAAGCTAGAACTTTCACGGAATTTCATGTTTGCCACTTAATTCCAAAGGCTATTTTTGCAGTTTACTCTTAAAGTTAAACTGGTGGTAAAAACTCACAGCAAACGCCTCCCTGTTTGTAAGGAATCATAAAATTCTTCCGAGCAATCTCCTATTCTTTATTTCAAATTTAAGCAACTAAAGGATTTTCGAAATTTCTTGTCCCGAGAGGTTCCCCATAGAAAACGGGCGAGGATTCTAACTTTCTGATCGCCAAGGAAAACAGGCGAAAATTCATAAATTCAGAATTTCTGACCCCCCAAACAACACAGGAGAGGATTCAGAATTTCCGATCCCCCAAGAACACAGGAGAGTATTCAGAATTCCTGACCCCCAGACAACACAGGAGATGATTCAGAATTTCTGATCCCCCAAATAATACAGGAGAGGATTCAGGGGCCAGGGAATTTTCCCCGGCTGTAACTTATGAATGTGCCCCCGACTAGTTGCATACTAGGAAAAGAGAAGAAAAATAGAACAAAAAGAAATCCCTAGCTGTTTGATTCCCTGCCTACTTGTTGTATTTACCCAGCAACTTGAAATCTTAGTGACATCCCTGCCTACATGTTAAGACAACACTTAAATATAGTGTAAAGTAGCTTATATCTAGTCATGATTGGAAAAAATAAAAAGCATACCCTGTTGGTTGAATCTCTATATAATGTTTGTTTATAATCCAAAAATGACAAGATCAGCTGAAATATTCTCCTTTTTGTGATATGTTTAAGTCTGTTAGTCAACATACACATCATCTCATACAAAATTGTAACATTTGGATTTTAATTATTGTAATAATTGATATTAAATGACATAGTGGCCACTTTACAATTTCTACTTATTAAGGTATACCAAGTTACAAAAAAAGCAATTTAGCACTCAATTTCAGCGAAAAGACAAAATAAGTAAGCATCTTTAAATAATACAATCATGCATATGAAAAAAAAAATGAAATGACTGCTTCTTTCAAAGTCCCCGAATAGCTTTCTGAACTAAAGGTCCACACATCAGGCTAGTGCTGCCTTTTATTTTTGATCTTATTGCAGCGATGTACCTTATGTGGGCCATTCCATTTTATATCCACCCCTCCCCCCATCGATGAGATCTTCTGAAGGGGGTGCTTGTAAGATTTTTTGAAGGGGTCAATACTAGGAGAAACGTTTTTCTCAAGGGGGTTGTTGTCCGTAATGTCAATTCCTGAAGGGTGCAAGTGCCAAGAATACATTTTTGAAGGGATAAAGGAAGAGCTACATCATCAATACAGGCATGGTGAATACAGTGAAGAGCACTGTAAAACTTCTTTCCTGAAGGGGAAAAATAAAATCGCCATATTTTCTGAAGGGGACAGAACAAAAATAATACTATTTCTGTGGGTATCTAAGAATAAATGTTAATTTCTGAAGGGGGTAACCCCAGAAATAATTTTCTGAAGGGGTCAAGCAAAAGAAAAAAAAAAAGAAACCCTCATGCTGCATTCAAATGTTATAGTTTAGTTCAACTCTCAAGTCAATATAAATTAACTGGCAAATTTAACGGGAACTTATGCTCTTCTCCTATTTCAAGCATATTTACATTGGTCTGCCACAACCTTGAAGCGCCAGAACATATATACAACTTCCAGAGTATTCCATTGACGATATGCAACAAAGAGTACAGTTATTTCTGCAGTAAACAAAAAGGAATCAGTCAATGGCATATCTGTGCATGCATCTTAAATTAGATAGATAGATAGTTTAATAACCACATACCTTGCAACCCGAAGGCAGAATTGCGTATTTACAAATGATTGAACTGATAAAATGTGTATATAAAATTATAAGTACAGTAAATATAAAAGTATAAAAAAATATGACTAGTAATAGTTGACACTACAGCTGCCCCAGTTCTATATATTGTCGGTCAATAGTATTCTTGCTCGTTGTGTAGTCTTTGAAATATACCAATTCACAATGAAGATTTTCACACATATTCCATACAATAGGAGAGGTAAATACAGGAAACGCAAGATGTGCGTTTCTGCTCGATTTACACAGCTTTGATCAAAACATTCTCAGTTTCGAGAATAGTTTATTCGCTATTTCTATTTCACTTTTTACATTCAGTTCATTTTATTTGCCGGAAAGTGAGCCTTCACGCTTATTTGAAACTTTATAACGGAAGGACATCTGTGAGCAGGGAATAAGTCAGCACAGAATTTGATTGTCGGCGAATTTCTGTAATCGTCCATCGTTCTGATAGTGATAAGTTAGCCGTTGTTCACTCGTCTTGCTTGTTTGGGGCTGAGTCTTAATCCGGTCAAAGAGAGAAAGAGTGTCTGGCAAGGTTTACAATATAAATCAAATATTTGTGAACTCGTGTCTGGCAAACTCTCCAAGTATTTCTATATACACAGTTAAACGCACCTTATAACCTCATCTGCGCTTAACGAGTGTCTTTTGGTCCTTAACCTTCAAAACAACTGCTCCACAGAATGTCACTGCGTAACGCAATAGAGTATCGAAGTATAACTGCACAATAAATGTCACAAAATCTACCTGAGCGGTCCCTTCGGGATTTTCTGTCTTTACGTCATCCTAACCATTTCGTACTTGCGGGCGTAAACAATAGAAACGTCATCATTACCTACCGATTCCTCACGGCCCCTGTTCAAGCAAATCGAGATTTTTTCTATATTGACTTTATGACTGTATATTTCAACTGTAAGTACTTTCCTTAATATACGCCCGAGTTACTAGAGTGCCTCCTCGAGATTTCGCCTACGCTATTAAGTTATTAGAAAACCAAACGAACCACAGTATCCAGAACATACCTTTCTGCAAGAATCCGGCTGAGTTACTGGTAGTCTTTACACTAGCGCCTAAATAATATAACATTTCAAGACAAGTAAATTTTAGTTACTTCAAGTAAAATAAAGCTTCACACACAACCGATTCTTTTTTACTTCAGGTTAACTTAAGGCCATTTTCCCACGTAACATAATTAAGATTGATTGACATGTTTTGCTTTCCTCAAAGCTCAAGAAACCGCAAGTAACCGCAAGTCAGCTAAGTCGGTCATAAGGATGGTTTTCAAGTCGCTTGAAACTTTCTTGAGTCGTTTCAACTTTCCGACTTTAATGAGATGCTAAGTAAAGTTACTTGAGATTTTACTTAGGCCTTCACACAGTAATTTTTGGCTAAGTAAAACTTAGCCTAGTGTAAAGACAACCACTGACTTGGAAACATGCTTTATGTGAACACAAACTTCGCAGTTGGCTACTTTGCCTCGAAAATAACATAGATAATAGAAAGACAGTCTTCCTATTATCCTAAAATAACGAAAATACTCTGTTACTTGTGAAGTCTGCGTGAATTTGAACTATTTAACGGAAGGTCATTTTACACTTTTCTATTGGTTCAGAACCTGCACGTGACAAAATAAATCAAATTGCGCACGTGCAACATGCACGCGAAAGCCTGGGAAACACGGTGGTTATAATCTTCGGAGATCTTGCGATGCACAACGCACACCCGTTTAGGTCATTTTAAGCGTTGATCTGAATATTCCGACGACTTTAAAAGCAAGTGGAAAACTTAACGTTGTGACGAAGAACGTGTTGTGGACGTTGTTCATGTTGGACAAGCTCAGGTACGGAAAATTGATTGAACCAAAGACACCTTGAACACACCAAGACCATACCGGCTTATTGCTTCAAGGAATCATTCATTAGTTGAACGAACTGAGTCAAAAGGAAACTCAAAAGCATGCAAAGCAAGGAACTGTTCGCATGTTCAAGTGGACTTTCGACCTTACAACGAGAAACACATTACAGTAAGAAACAAAACACTCATACAAAGCTATACAATGTAGTTACATATGTCTGGGATCGACAAAGGATTGCTTATATTAGGTTAATTTGGATAGCAAAGTAAGTTTTCTGATTGAATAACAAAATTAAGGTCGTTTTGTCCTCAATGAAGATCCTGCTGAAAAAATATATGGTCTTTAAAGTGGCTTGGGGGGTCAGAAATTCTGAATACTTTGACAAGCATGAACAGATAGCCATTTTTGTCCCTTGCCGTGATGGGGGATCAGAAATTCTGAGTCCTTGTGGAATTAAAAGTAGACAGCTGGTTCTATCTTGTAGCTGTTCCCTGATCCTGGGAATCAGAAATTCTGAATACTTTTATAACCACGAACAGAAAGCCGTTTTTGTCTTTTGCCATGATGGGGGATCAGAAATTCTGAATCCTTGTGGAAATAAAAGTAGATTTCTGTTTTGTTCTGTTAAGCTATGGGCCGGGGGATCAGAAATTCTGAATACTTTGACAACCATGAACAGATAGATAGCCGTGTTTGTCCCTTGCCGTGATGGGGGATCAGAAATTCTGAATCCTTTTGGAATTAAAAGTAGACAGCTGGTTCTCTCTTGTAGCTGTTCTCTGATCCTGGGGATCAGAAATTCTGAATACTTTTATAACTATGAACAGATAACCGTTTTTGTCCCTTGCCATGATGGGGGATCACAAATTCTGAATCCTTGTGGAATTAAAAATAGAGTACTGTTTTGTTCTGTTAAGCTATGGGCCGGGGGATCAGAAATTCTGAATCTCTCCAAGAAAGAAAGCGCAAACACTAAAGATGACGGGTGTACCGTCGAAACATGTCTGGTAAATTAAAGAAAGTTGTTATGTTTATGCGGCTATATCCTAAATAAAATACACGGTCTACTAAAAAACTACAACTAATTAAAAAATACTATCCACTAAAACTACCGCAAAAATCATACTTAAATACTAATTTTTTAAAAATGTCTGCATCCTTGCATCAACACTAAAATCATCTTAAGAGTAAACATTTTTAAGAAAAGGGGTTTTTGTCCCTCGAACACATGTGTGGACTGATCTTAAAATTTCAAATGAAATTTGGCATGTTTTTCGTGTCGGTGCAAGAACTATCCGGTATAGTGTGAAAAATAACCTAGTAAGTAATAGAATCCGTATGTAATTTTCCCCGTCAGAAAGAAAGCTGATAAAAAAGACGCAGGACATAACTTTCAACAGTCCCAGCACAAGTCATGTGAAGAGCACTTCTGCATCAGAATTTGGGGAAGAAAGTAGCTTTCAAGGTAAGAAACACCAACGATTCTATTTCATGTAAATTTTCGCCGGGTTTTGTCTCTCACGTATTTAAGCTAGCTTTCTATCGCAGCGAAAGTGCAGGCACTCATTGTTGAACGTATTTAGAGATTTTCTACAACCGGACAAACATCTTAGCAGAAGCTCCTACGAAAATCGTGCGTCAGTCGTTGATTTTTCCCGACAAATTTTTGTTTGTAACCTGACACGCACAAGTTGGTGGAAATTGGGCGTTTCTTATAAAATGTCGTTCTTGAGAGAAGTAAGCAAAAGGGTTAAGGTTGTGACCAAATTTGAAATAAACAATTGATTTCTTTCCAGAAACAAATGCTAGTCGAACCGATCAGATCGGTATGGATGGCAAATACCGGGACATTTTGCGCCGTACCTGGTCCACACTAAGAGAGGACCTTGAACCTATACCAGGGCTAAAAGCGAAGCTCTCGGTATTAAAAGTTTGCTCAAATAAAATGTAAAATCGTGTTATGCTAAGCGGCGAAGGCAACGCCGGAGAACGGTGAAAAACAACAATAGGTCTAATTAGCAAAAAAGCAACTTTCACGTACAACACAATTTTTTGTGCATTTCTTTGCCCTTGTTTTGCACGCCTACAACGTGAAACTTCCAGAAACTTCTTAGACGTTACACGTTGTTTGGAGGAAATGTCGTACGTGCTCTCGTTCACTTTTTTTCACTCCCCCTTTTTTTCACCTTGCATTGGTGCCCGCTAGCATTTCTCATTTTGTCACCGCCGCTACAAAATTTTCATGTTGTCCTTCCTTTCGCTCTAGATCTCTGTCGCCCTTTTTCTCGTTAAGCTTTGCTGACCTGCCGCCTACTTTCTCTTGCCCTATATTCCAAATTTGTGGACATGACAATTAATCTAAGCTTAATACTTTAGACAACATGGATACAGAAACAATTTCCTTTTCCGGTTTCTTTATTGAGCTTTAGTTGTCTCTGCTTTACAAGACGCGGGTGGCTGTGCGATTTTCCCCCAAAATAATCTCGAGTTTCAATGGGGTTGCCACACCTGTTGATTGAGTTATTCTACATTGGTATGCCTGTGGTGCGGACGGACGGTCGGTGGTCGGCGGTTGGTGTACGGTCACGTGATTGCCAAATTTTCTGGATGGGTGGATTTACTTACCCATAGTGCTCCGCTGGCGCGCTTCGCGCGTGCGAAAGCTCCGCTGTTACCATATTTACTTCGGCGGAGCGCGAAGTAAAGGATTCGCGACGCTCAGGAATGTATCAAAGTTGCAATTTTTTGACAAGATTGGGCAAGCAAAGTCTGTAGGTTTTCGGCTCTATTCGGCTATTTGACGAAGTGAGAGCCGAATTAGTTCGAGATATCTAGAGATCACTTCGATTTCTTTGATTTATTCTTTAACTTTTTCGAGGAAGAAAGAATTACTATTTTGGCCTTCCCGGGGTTTGAACCGACTCAAATGTGTGACCCGTCAGGTCAGAGGAGACTCTAAGTTGAGGGATTAGCCAATTGCGCTACTGCGACCCAAGGTAGTTTGGGATATCAAAAATAGTTATGAAATGATGCACTAGTTTCGGGACAAGATTGGGCGTGCAAGTTCGTGACTTTTCGGCTTGTTTCAACTATTTCACGAAATGAGATCGGACTACTTCGTGATATCTTGAGATCACTTCGAGTTTAGTCTTTAATTACTCGAGGAATAAATAGAGGATATTTCGTGGCCGCGCAGAGACACGAAATTTCTCTTCGAGTGTTGAAAAACATTTCACGAGTGAGCCTTCCTTTCGAACTGTTTTATGATGAAGTTACAAAATGCAGCACAAATACATTTTGTCTTTGTTGAGTGTTACGTAGTAAAATTGCTTTCATACGTTCCGTGACTTTCTCGAACGTTCTCTGCGTTTTTGGATTAGCCATGAATAATTAATTAGGGCGTGTTTACATTTCAGCATGAGTCAGCAGATTTGCATCAGTTACTGAAATCATAAAATATGTCGAAAAGCTACTACTATTCGCCTGTTTAGTATTTTCTAGAACCTTATGTCAAACGGTATACAAGTTCCAAGCGAGTTCTTTTGACGAACTAAGTTTTTTCCCTCGAGCTGGACTGCTGTGTTTAGTCAAGTGTGACGAAGGTCGATTATTCAGGTTCTGTGTTTACAATGCAAGTTCGCGGAAGCCGTAAGATATCTGAAGTTCAAGTGAGAGTTTGTTATTATTGGTAGAGGCTGTTTAGTTTTACTCAAAGTTCAAGTCGAGTTTGTGTTGGCGGATGCTGTGTTTTAAAGCTCTGTAAAGGCTATGTTCCTTTGGTGTTAAACTTCCTTGTGTTAATCCGACATCCCTACGTGCTGATAGTCAGTGAATAATTATCCTCAAAACATTCGAACTCGTGACTTTGAGTTTTAGCCAATTCCATGCTCAACGTAATTGACTCCTTACCCATGTCTTACATAACTTTAATCAGTACATGAGACTGCTATGCCGTTTTTGAAGCCTGATGTGACTAAGAAAAATAGAGAATTATTTTTTAGAAGGATTTGTATGGAGTCATCAGAGGATAACTGGGCTAATATCGCGGAGACAATTTGTCCTGAAATGCTAGTTTTTGGCAAGTAGGCCTCTTGGATGTTGCTCTTTTCAGAATATCCTGACAAATCCCATAATTTCACACCTTACTCTTACCATATTTGATTTCTTACTATTCCTCCGCATTTACAATTAATTAGTTCCACAACCACGACGCCGAAGTGTACGCTAGCTCCGTAGCGTCTTGTTAGTACATGTGTTGGACCCCACAGACAACGGAGAAATTAAATCGAGCTTGGAAAAAACGCGAGAAAATGCGGTTGATAAGCTCTTGGCGATTCTGCCCAGGAAAGGGCAGAGGGCTTTGATGTCTTTGTGGAAGCTTTACAAAATGTGAAGCCTCTTTTAAGTTTTCATTTAGGTGAGCGATTAAATATATTAATTATTCATTCAAAATATTTTCCTGATTCTGATTGGCTAAAAGCACATACATAATTCACCACAACCAGCTACTGCTGACCAAATTTGGAAGAATTTTGCGATTAATCAACCAATGACGTCAAAAGTACACCTTCCTTGCAGGTTAATGCACCGTTAACAGAGAAGACCTGGGAACGAGGTTGAGTTGTTTTAAGTGTGAAAACAAAAATGGCGGACATTTCACTCGTTTCAAGAGTAAAAACTAGGCGAAATAAGTATAGGTAATCACATGATTTCGAGTGCAATTTGGAATAAATAAGCACGAGTAAATTTTTCAAAGACTAACAAAAGTGCACGAGCCCGTAAACTTATTAATAATATACACGAAAAACATAACCACAACAACAAATTTTGACAGCGCGCGTTTTTAGTTCATTCAACTGATTGGCTGAAACAGACTACTACCTTTGTCAAATTCAAACTTTTTCAAGGCCAACGCTTTCAAAATCATTCAGCTGAGAACTTGGAAATGTGCAAGGATTGACTTTGTATGGTCACCAGGCCCCGATTGTTCAAACGTTGGATAGCGCTATCCACCGGATAAATCACTATCCAGCGGATAAGTATTACGGAAATCAATTACGCTATCTGCTGGATAGTGATTTATCCGGTGGATATCTCTATCCAACTTTTGAACAACCTGGGCCAGCCTGTTAAAGATAACTCGGTTTACAATAATCAGCAAAAGTAAGTATTTTAAATTCATCCTCGATTATGAGAGCTCGACGTTTACAAGAAGTATTTAGAAGAAGTATACTGCCGTTTTGAAATCATCTTTGGCTTCGAACAGCCAAAGATGAAAGACACTTGCTAAGGTTTTTTTAACGAATGTTCATCATTGTCTGTTCCTGAGACCACACCATAGCTGAATTCATGGAGAAATTTTTTAGATTTTCTTCCGACGCTGCCATCAGTGGGTGAGTGGAGCCACAGTTGTTGTGATGTGGGAAACTGCCAGAATTAATATAATATTTGCTTTTACTCAGCACTGGGGTTTTCATTATTTCATTTAGCTACTGCAACACTCGTAGCTCTTCTTCGTCGGCTTCATTGTAGTCGTTAAGGAAATTTATACCTCTGTGGCCTGTGACATTGGCAATATGTTCTGAACATACAATCTTTGCTTTCTTCAGCTTCCTGACTGTTGTTTTTCTCGCACAATGATTCGCAGACTTTTTTCTCACTTTCTTTAAGGCTAGTACCAGCTACGGATACTTTCATTATGTTAGTTATGACATTTTCGCCCGTTGGTTTAGTTTGAACCAGATGTTTAAATTTTCGGTTTCGTTTGGTCGCATGGATGTTTTAATAGAGGTCTTCGCTCCACAAAAGACTCAAAGAGAGCAACCGGACACCTTTCTTCTCCAACAAATAACGTACGTGACTTGAAATCTCCATTGTTATCATGGAAAACTTGTATCCTTGGTCATTTAAATGCCTGAAAAGTGTAGCTGTCATGGTCTGCGCTTGGTTGCCACCGTTTTTGTTCTTTATTTTGTTACTTTAGCGTAGTCTGTTATGAGTAGCTTGTTTTTTAGTTTCTCTGGCTCATTTTCCTCGATTTTGTTGACAGTATTTTTCTCTTATCACCGCATTTTCAATACATTTAGCCTGAAAGACGTACTTTTTACTGTGTTCGGGTTTTTGGAATATTTTGTTAACTTTTCTATTGTTGTTTTGCGTACAAAATTAAATCCCGTCGCCGTCTGCTGAAGACCATGGCCATTTTCTTAAATTTTGTTGTTAAAACAACTCTAATCTGATTGGTTCTTGGTGGTTTCTTTTGTGTTTTCAGCCAATCAGAAACCATTTGTAATTTGCACTCGTGTTACAAGTTTTGCAGTCGTATTACAGAAGAGCTCAACCAGGGTTTACCAGGGTGCAAGCCTGGTTGAACCAACCAGACTTTTCTGGTTTTCAAACCAGGCTTACCAGACTTTACCGAATGTGCAAAAAGCCTGGTTAACCAGGGTATTCCTGGTAAGCCTGGTTATCCTTAGAACCAGGAAAACCAGACTTTAACCAGGCTCTTAAAGTTTTAAATGAACCAGGCTTACCAGACCTTACCATATGTGCAAAAAGCCTGGTTAATCAGGGTATTCCTTGTAAGTCTGGTAAGCCTGGTTATTCTAAGAACCAGGAAAACCAGACTTAAACCAGGCTCGTGAAATTCTGAATGAACCACGCTTACCAGGCTTGAACAAAATGTGCAAAAAGCCCCTGGTAAGTCTGGTAAGCCTGGTTAGTCTAAGAACCACGAAAACCAGAATTAAACCAGGCTCGTGAAATTCTGAATGTGCCACACTTACCAGGCTTAAACCATATGTGCCAAAAGGCTGGTTAACCAGGGTATTCCTGGTTAGCTTGGCAAGACTGGTAAACCAGGCTTTACCAGGCTTTTAAAGTAAGTCAATAAACCAGGTTATCCTGGTATACCAGGGTTTTTCTGGCAAGTCTGGTTTCTCATTCAATAACCAGAAAAACCAGGCTAAACCTGGCTCTTGAAGAACTGTCAATTAACAAGGGTTTAACCAGGCTTGAACCAATTGAGAAAAATTAGTCTGGTTAAACAGGGTATTCTTGACAAATCTATCTGGTAAATCCTGGTTCTCAGAATATCTTTGAGAAACAAGCTATACCAGCCTTAAATGCAATATAAAGAAAGCCCGGTTATCTGCGGTATTCGTGTTTATCCTTTGAAAAAATCAGGCTTTAGTATGGTGCACTACAGTGTAAATCAGGCCATTATGACAAAAAAAGTGTCATTAATATACAAAATTCTATGTTTACGAAGTGTGACATCAACAATACATACAAGTCATCTGGAATACATGTACATACAAGTGGTACTGTATCTCCTATTCAGGCTACAATCAGGATTTCACCATTGAAATTTCAAGGGTTTCATCCTACATGTATTTAGTTTGGATAAGCTTCAATGAAATGAAAAAAGCTTATTTTCAAGATCAATGCAGATGTTTATTTTAGCTACAGTAATAGCAAATGAGCAGTAACAAATCATCTAAGTGTAAACTAAAGATGTGTTACAAAACAAAAAAAAATTAAATCTTACCTTTGGCCACTGCTGTTGCTTCAGCCATCCTATCCATCTTGTAAGTACAATAATTGAAATGCAGCAACATCTAAACAAAGTAAACAACAGAATACATGTCAAGATTACATGTACAGTATTTGATCCATCCTTAAATAATAAAACAACAGTTACATATGTAAAGATGCAAACCACACAAAAGGATTCATCTTTTAAAATAATTGATTCATTAATGAAATATATGGGGGTATGGAAACTGGGGGGTATGGAAACAAGTCATTTTGATACGAACTCAAGCAGTGAAGTTTTGCAAAAAGTTTGATCACTTCAAAAAAAATTGCATTTGAACAAGAAAAACTTTTTGGGTTTTTCATTCTTTAAGTCAGGTATGTGAAACTATTTACCTGTACATACATAGACTTAAATTATTTGATAATTGAATAAACTGTAACTGTTGTTGTTGTTGTTGGTACACCTTGAAGGAACGAAACTGTATCGAAACAACTTGTATATGTAAGGACTTTGTATCAAAACAGCCAGTAACCATAGGGGTATGCTTACCCAGGGATGATGCTAAGGAAAAGATAAGCAGGCCTTTTTAGTAGTCAAGCTCCCTTTTTTACTCAACTGCATTAGAGGTTCCCAACGACGGTTTCCTCCTAAATGAAACACTTTTTAGGCTATCAAGAACACTTTTAGATCTCTAGAAATGCATTCTAAGTGTCGCTAAAAAATTTTCATCTGTTCAGTCATTATAGGGCAACTTAAATCTTTCCGAAATTATAAGGGCTTCAGTATTATTCTCCTGAAAATTTTAGCTGCAATTTAAAGTTTTACGCAAGTAAGAATTTTTCTGATTCCTCTCTGCATCTCATTTTTGATTTCAAAAATTTTAGGTTTCCTTTCTAGCTCTTTCTCTACGAAAATAGCTTAACCTGGGGAGTGAAATGGGAAAAATCAAAGTTCAGAAAATCTTAGGGAATTTATTAGATAAGCTTCAAAAATTGTACATTAACTTTCCTTGAAACATCCCTGCTTACCCTGGCATGATTGTGATCAATCTGTTTTAATACATAATATTTATAAATTATTTTCCATGACTGTTGTCAGGTTTGTTGAAATGCATTTTGAACAGTTCCATCAGCAGAGCCAACCATATGCATTTAGGGTCCCGGAAAATTTTAGTACACTGTAATTCGACTTTTCTACCCTAACTAAGCCAGCTACAGTGGTGTAAACAAAGATCAACTTCTTCCCCTATTTAAAAAAAAAGTTCCCTACTTTGAGGGAAAATAATATGCTCTAGTGCTTATTGATTAGAACATGGGACTATTAAACAATTTCAAGGTTAGAATAGTGAGACTTCCTGTGACAAACACTACTTTCATTTTGGTTACATGCACATTCGAAGTCTAAACAATACGTCTTTCATTTATGTTCTGGTCAAGGTTCTGACCCTTATTGCTTCTTCCCAGTGAATCCGTTCGTGGACGAGACTGATTTGTCGTTTGTAAAGAAAAGATCTTCTTGCCCATCAAATATCATTTCGTTAAAAGTGAATGGCTAAAAATAAACTAACAGAGATCACGCACCGCTTCTGCCACATGTGTACCGGGAAGCTTATATTTCTAACATCAACTGCAATCGCGGCAAGGTCTGACTGTGCCCCGGTAAACAACAACGAAAATATGATTATTTCGCGGCTTAACTAGAGAATACAGGGCAAATTTTCTAGGTATATTCGTTGGGGTGGCTCGGTGGCTCGGTAGTCCCGACTAACGAGCCACCGAGCCTTCGAGCCACTAAACTATATAACCTCGACTGAAGAGCCACCGAGCCGCCGAGCCACTAAAATATATACCTATAATCTGCTATAATACATACTAACATATATGCCTTCTATGTCTGTCTTATACTAGCACGTAATCTACCATAAACAAGTACTACTTAAGAATGATTAAAAACAGAACTCACCTAAAATCGTTTCCCAACCGGATGATCTGATATGATGATATATGCGGTGCGAAGTTTTCGAGGAGAAGCGATCGATTGTGCTGCCTAACAGTCGCGCAACAAGTGACATTTCTTAAACTTTGGCGCTAGAGGTTAAACATTTTTTGAATAGCTTATTGTAATTTTTTATAGGAAGAATCGTAACATGCATAACCCAACACTTGCCAAGATAAAAAAGCCGGTATTTCGCCCAGTGCTCAAACCGGTTTGATCGGTTTGTCTTGCGACCGCGCCTGTCATTTGATCATCACTGCTGACCATTTTTACAGCGTGGGCGCTTAAAAACAATCGAACTTTGATCTAGTGGAGTGATCAACTGCGATCAACGAGGTGCAAGGCGAGTTTTTACGGACTTAGTTTTACAGGAAACAAAGTCGTCGGCTAAATCAAAGCAGAAGATGGACCAGTCTTTACATTGAGGTACGATATTTATCTGTAGCGAAGCATTATAAAAGATTAACGCTAACAAGAAACTCATATACTGTACGCGGTAAGCTAAGATTTCCGTGCAGCAATATTCAGATTATATAAGATTAAGTCCTCTGTTTCGATTCCCATCACATTAACTATTTGTGTGAAATAGTATGAAATGACTGCTGCAAGCCTTATATATGAATGGGGCCGTACGGAAATCGTATTACAAACTGGAACCTGACAGCGGCAAAGTCAAAACCCATTCTCCACAGTTCAACGTAAGCTTACATGTACGTTTTATTCGTGTGTTTATTCTTATGCCTCTTTTAAGGCCATCCTCACCAACGCATAATCTCTTATGCTATGCATATGCGCCTCTACTGAGGACCATGCTATGTTTGTGCTTGCATCTCTAAAACTGCACTTGCATGTCCATTTCTGTTCATGTTTTTCTGGAGTCTAACGTATATCATATGAATTTACATTCACTTCATTTACTGTGTATTGTTCTATAGTGTGTTTGATTACACTCATACACTGTACTTCTTTAAGACAGAGCATCGCACTCAATAAAGCCTGAGTGAATCAGTTTTATTCAGGTTCTTTTTTGACTGTTTAAACTGGGGTCTTTTTTGCATGAGCGTTCGCGACCGCTGAACAAGCAGTGTACATGGATGCTCACTACAGGGTCTGCCCTCATCAAAATGGCGTGTCTCAAAGCATCATCGCGATTATTTTCCTCATTGGTCTTGGCAAATGTGCTTGTGATTTAACAAAATGTGTAGTTTTCAAAAAACTCTCACATGGTCTTAACAAAAGCAAAGTAGACCGGCTTTAACATACCACAAGCTACTATCAAATTTCATCTCCCGACTTGACCTGGACAACAGCGCACATGTATGTATACGTAGTGCTTGTAGGATTGCACTGACCTCATGAAAGTCTAAACAAAGTGTCGAAACATTTGATAATGTAAGTAAACACTTTCAATTTGATTTGTTTTAAAATGGGGAAAGGAACACAAATATTGAAAAGAACATAGCAGATTTCAGCGAGTGGGTTCAAAGTGCACAAAAGCTTGTGTTCAGTTCAGCACTTTAAAGCTACAAAATGAAGAGCACACAAGACAGACATTTAGATTAGTCACCTGGTGAGAAGTTGGTGGTATTCACTCTGTGTGTCTCGAACAATAAAAAAATGAATATCAATGAGACACAGTCAAAACTGCCATCAATAGGACTGATTTTGATGAACCAAACGGCTAAAAGTAAATTCCTGTAAAAGGAATACAGTGTTAGTCCCCCCCAAAAACAAGAAGTTCTGCAATTTTGTGATAAACAAACTTTGTATCGCTAAAATTCTTAAGAGAACAGCTTTCTATTCCAACTGATAACAGATTGGTAGTTGCGCGCTGATCGTTATTAATCAACTCCCGAAATACGGCGAAATCAGCTATCTACAAATTATTGACAGAAATCCTCTATGGCATCAAGAAACTAATTTAAATCGGATTTATAGACCAACACTAAACAAAGAACATTTTGCTTGAAAGCTCCCCGTCAGCAATGCATTCTTTGCCAAAATTTGCGGTTCTTGAAGGGGAATCAAGACACAAGTCTAGCGCCAAACAACAACAATCAGCCATGTTTGTGTCAGACATCCTTGAGAAACTTTCTCGTTCAACTCATCCGTCTCCACTTTCTGTAAATCACCAGATCTTTACTTCTTTTACAGTCTTTCCTAAGTTCCTGCTACCATTTGAATCTCAAGCAAGCTTTCAAAGTGAAGAATTTGGTTCCTACACTGTATGACTAGGCACCACTGTCGCTGTGACTGGCCACGTGCTCTTTATCAAGTCTCAATGCGCATGCTCATGCAAAAAATACCACTGTTGATTGTCTATAACTCTCTCACACACTCTAGAATTCCTATTATTCAGTTCTGTTGTGGTTGATAAATTTATAGCTTCATTTGAGGTTTTGAGTGGGCTTAAAAAATGGTTTGGCTCATGGTAATGAAGATGTGTGGACTGTGTGTTTCAAAGAGACATTGATCACAACATTCAGTATTTTCAACATGGCATTAGTCTGTTGCAATGTATAATTGATACCAAAAGTTAACTCTCCAATTTCTTTTTTTTATTATTTTCTTGACTGTTTTGTACAGCAATAACCACAATGTGCAATGTACCTGATTTTTACTTTCTTTAAACATTAGCAAGCAATGAATTTATCTACAGTGTTTAGTCACAATTTATACAAAAGCACTGGCTCATATATACAAATGTCCATGTGTTGACCTTTTTCTCTTAGATCAGTGTGTGATTAAATTGTGTGGTTTATGTTTGTTTATGCCTTAAAGTAATTGGACAGTATGCAACATAGCGTTGCGCCCACTCTTGAATGATTTTTTTTTTCACTGCCAGCAAAAGCTGTCTGATTAGCCTGTTTTTTATTTTTTTTAAAGAAATGCTTTAACATCACAAACTTTGTAAAAGGTATGATTAATACATCTAACAGACTTCATGTCCTCTAATTCGGTCAGTAATCGTACTTGTTATTAAACAAATACACAGTTGTCTGATTTTGTTAGACACCTGTACATATATTGATTGCAGACTGAATTGGACTCCACTCAGTCTTACTGAAATAGTGAAGCCACATGTTATTTGCAGAACCTGTAATTTAGAGCACATTTTCAGTTGTTGATTGATTATTATTCTTTGACAGGTTGAGTCAAAAAATAGAAAGGAGATTTACTACCAAGTTCAAGCAGTGCCATGGGAGGCAACAAATGCAGCTAAGAATGTACACATTTTAGCCTGTAAACTGGATTTACAGTGTACTTAAACCTTCAACACTGCATTATATGTACGTATTTTTTCATAAATGTCTTGCTAGCCTCCTAAATGCATGTTTACAACAAGTACATGACTGTATTTCTACATGTTAAATGGATTGAAAACTCAGGGTAATACCATAAACTATTAATGTTCAAGATGTATACTCAATGTTGTTGCCGATTTTTAGTTGCCTTTTTTTCAATAAAATTTTATTGTTGGCCTATGAAGATGCCTCTTTATTGAAACATTATTACTGTACCTTCAAAAATGTAGCATGTACTTTTCAGCCCAGCTCTTGCTTCTTGACATGATATTTTTAACTTTATCACGAAAGCCAGGAAAAAACCTTGTTATTGTTTTGCCCTTTGTTTACATATTTTATGATTTGTCATTGTCAACCAGGCTTACCAAGCTTTTAAGGTTTAAATTAAACCAGATTACTAGAAAAAGGTCTGGGAGAACCAGGCTTACGACGCTTTTGAGGTGGGAGTTTTTACCAGGCCTACCAGGAAACCCTGGTTAAACCAGGCTTACCATGCTTCTGAGGTAGGGGATTTTAACCAGGCATACCAGGAAACTCTGGTTAAACCAGGCTTACCAAGCTTTTGAGGTGGAAATTTCAAACCAGATTTACCAGAAAACCTCGGCTAAACCATGCTTACCAGGCTTTTTAGGCGAAAAATTTCAACCAGGCCTACCAGGAAAGCCTGGTAATACCAGACTAACCAAGCTTTTCTGGTTAGGATTTTTAAGTAGAAAGCCGAGTTACCAGACTTTCATGGTAAATTATAACCAGGCTTACCTTAAAAGCCTGGTAAAACCAGGCTCAACCAGGCTTTCAATTTAAGTTGATAATTGTCAAAAGCCGGGTAAGTCTGGTTCAACCAGGGTTTACCAGGCTCACAAGGCTTTTAACCAGACTTTTGGTGCAAGGGTGCACTCCTTTCTCAGGAAATCAGAATTGAGTAATTTTTTCGGGTATGTTATTATAGCTAATATCATAAGTGACAAATTACTCTTTAATTTTGGTGCGAAATTTCAGCGTTAATTTGTAATTTCACATGTGAAATTACAAAATTGCCATGGCAACCCTTCCGTACGTCTCGGTGTCAAGATGGCGACGAAGTTTTAAAATGCCGTGAATGAAGATGTCAGGGCACAAAAAGACGCTTTAGAAAACCTGAACACGCAAGAGAGCATCAAGAAGGATTCTAACAGGTATTTTGTCGAAAAAGTCTGAAAAATTCTGAACTTTACAAGCCAAATTTAAGGTCTAAACATTTTAGAGAGTGGAGTTCTCCATCGATACGATCCAGGATAAAGATGTCAATAATCCAAGATTACTAACGTAATTCGTAACCCATGTTATTAATAGGTAATCAAATGGTATACTCGTGAAATTAGGGAATAATTTCACTTGCGTTTTGTCCAAATCCTAATAATTTCCCTCGCCCAAAGGATCGGGAAATTATTAGAATTTGGACAAAACGCGCGTGAAATTATTCCCTAATTTCACTCGTCACCATTTGATTACTCATACTAAAAACATGGCAAGAACAGCAAGAAGACAACTCGAAGGGCAACATGTGCTATTTGGAGAATATTTGTGGAGCTGAATAACCCTAAACGTGCGCTATCGAAGATGAACTTAACATCGATGGAGGTAAGCATGTTTTAGCTATGTTTAAAACTAGGAAGTATTTTGATTGAATAATAAAAAACAATTATTGAATTCGGCTTTCGTATCATATGAAGAATTACGGAGACCTCGGAAGGTGTTATCCCTCCTCGATCTGCTTAATTTTGACAGAGCGCAAAAACCGCAAGACATGCGCGCTAGAGCTCTCGCCACTGTTTCTTGTATTCCCGCCTTTCGATTTTCAAAATGGCGGAGGACTAATCAGAATCTAACACGTCACTGCGGACGCTGCCAAGCCGCTGTCCTCGCTCTAAGAATTTTTCAACATCGTTAAGGTGATTCCATAGTAAAAGAACCTAACATAGATTGTAGCTAAAACTTGGTACACTGATGTAACAAGTCAAGAAGATGATAAAAAAGTAATAAAAAGTGGGGGTCGTTTTGACGTCACAATGCCGACAAATACGGCTATTTATGACCCTTTTACAAAAACCGCGGGCAGCCCAAAACTAGACAAAAAGGAAAGATTTTTTCGATGATGCATGTGGCATCACACAGAATTTGACTTACATGTATTGTTTATCCACTCACGTACCAGAAAAATGCCTTTTAATGCCCTTGATTTACGTTACGCTCCAAAGTAGAATTAAATTGGGCGCGCGCTTTTCGACCCGTGGTGGCTCAATCCGTACAATTTAGTAAAATTGCCAAAAAACTGAACATAGATTTGTGCTAATTTTTTTCTCATCGAAAGGAAGCACTGTCCTTATTAAAATCATGAAATAAAAAATGGGGGTCACCGTACTCGTTTTTGCGGTAGAGCTGCAGAAAGTGCGCACCAAACGCATTTTCTCCGATTTTTGGGAGAGGACTGGGGCGAGTTTCAGAATAGAATGTATGTGAAAGGGGGAAGAAAGTATTAAAAAATCCGTTTTTACAGAATTTACATCGATGTATCTCATTTAGGATACAACGTGATGAAGAAAGTGTTTAAATGAAAATCAAAGTGAGTAAGCACAAGTTAAACATCCACTATCGAGGTTCTCCGAGAGGAGGTCGAACTCAGCAACACGCGCACTGCTTACGTTATGCACATTCCCAACACATTGAGTCTCACATTGGCAAGAAACAACAGCAAGCAAAAATTCCAATAGCGTTTCTCTTGAGTCAACTTCATTTTAATAATATTACTTCACATGCTGTTTTTTACGGCGGCCATCTTGTTATGCGCAGTAAGAGATGCGCAGTGCAAAACTAGGGAATCACCTTAAACGGAATTTGTCAGCATTCAGCCATGTGTTGGCGACGCTAGCGAAAAGATCGGACTTAAACAGGTTCTCTAAAGCAGCGATGTTTGTGACCAGCTTCGGAGCCTATTTTGAAGCTTGTTGTTTCAAAGAAGGGCAGGTTTTTTGCGTTTCTTAAGGTGGTCGCTTACTCTTTAAGGCCAGGAAAGAGAAATGTTGGAGGTAAATAGTTTATGTGAAACATATCAAATATGACTTGTTTTTCGTTTCTATGAAAATTTTTTAGAGCTCTTTAAAAGTGGACTATTGTTTCACGACTTAAGAATTACAAGGAAGGCTTGTTCAAGGCGAAGTTGGAATAACAACAAGTATATTTACCTCATTTACCGCGTTGCTTCGCAATATTTGTTTGTACTGACAGTGAAAGGAATTCGATTTGCAACTGGTTTTCACGAAAATTGAAATCTAGAACTTTGTAATCTCATCTATAAAAGTGGTTATCTGCAGATTTTTTTTTAAGTAGTAAAGTTCGGGTGATGTACATTGTGTTTTTTGAGGCGCTAAATATAAATATACCTTGGTGACACTGAATCGTTGTGATTGCTCACGTTGTTTTCTCAGCGAAATCACGGCTACAGTGCAGCTGGAAAAGTCATTCTTCTAGTTTCAAACAGCAGCAAAGGCATTTTTCTGATGACATGTTCTACGCTTAAAAGGGGCCACGAGAACTAAGGAGCCGGTCAAGATTCAGGGAGTATGGAGGGTGGGGGGCTAGGGAAAATTTTTAAAGGTTCTACAAAATGCCATGTAAATCTGTATTTCTGTTACAAATAAAATAGATCGAAAAAATTAAATTATTATGACAACTTAAAATTTGGGGGAGGGGGGGTGGGGGGTCCTTCCAAAACAATTTTTAAAAAAAGTTGAAAGAAATCAAAGGCTAAAATAAAGAAGTCCTCAAGAAACTTGAGGGTGGGTGCTTGTGGTTGTTATCTTTATTATTATGATCCAGACTATCTTTTAAAACACACTTCGTCATCCACCCTCCCCCCTTCCTCCAAATAAAAGTTCACTTTCTCAACCTAAGTATAATGGAAAACTAAGCCACTGAGGTGGAACAGGAAGTCATTAATACATATAATAACCTTTTCCATTTCACTGGCCACAATAATGATCTGCTGTTTCTCAAACAATGCAGAGGTGCAGTGATCAGCCTTCTCAAAATATGTTGCATGCTCAGCTAATCAAGCTGTTTTCTGGTCACTGCCTGGCTACAATAAGCCAAAACACTGTTTGTGAGTTGAGTACCTCACAGAGCCTTCTGTTCCAGATGCAAAGTATCAGCTTCCAACATTCGATCATGCTTAGAAAGCAAAATTTCAACCTAGTTTTTAGGTTTAAAAGTGACACAGCAGTCTTGACGTTTATTTTTCGCTTCCTCTCCTCCCATTGATAGGAAATGTTTTGGGAAAGCATGTAGGATCATAGGATTAGATAGAAGGAAGTGTAGGTGAGTAGTGGAACAAGATTTCAAGGGGAATGGGTTTATAGTTAAGCATTAAATGTTGTGATGGGTTGGTTACAGTAAGTGGCATCCCAAACTTGTTGTGTTCCTATTACTTGGGGAATGCAACTAGTGATAAATTCATTAAGTGCAAAAAAATACACAAGTGTTGCTACTGTTTTCAGAGCTCAAAATAATAACTTCACTGGTAGATATTTTCACTTGTGAAAGTTTTATTGTATTGACCCCATGACAAAAAATAACTAAACCAATGAATTTCTCATGGAGTTGCACTGTTCACCATCTTTCAGAGTAGGGTACAGTGCGACCTGCACCCGACCATTTGTTGACAATAATAACTTCAGAGAGATTATGTTCCATGTGGTTACCTGCCCGAGGTTATTGCTATTATCCCAACAAAGTCATTCAGCATAAGAAGCTTTTGGTGGAGAACTAAACTCAGGAAACATGCTTTACAAAAAAGTGCAATGTACCGGTAAATCGTGTATAAAAGCAATGAGTTTCGCTACCCCGTGTGCACTAATGTAGGCATTTACTACATGCTTGACCAAAATATTCTTTGGCCTGGACTTAATAAACTTGAAGCTTGTATTTGTTGTAGTTAATTTTTTTAACTCAGGTAATGTATGCTAATAAAGTTGAAACAAAAGAAAAACTAAAACTTAGCTGAGATAAAAAATTAACTGCAATATATATGTCAAATATTGCTTCTAGCAGAAGGTATTGAAACTCTTTCCAGGAAAGAAATTTTTGTTCAAAATCTTAGATTGTTCTTTGTAACACCATTAATATTTAACTCATTGACTGGCAAACAGTTTTGTTTATTGAAATCTTCTGTTAAGCCCCCAGGGGGGCTTACTTATTTCAAACACACTTGGGGAGGGGGGCTTATTTGAGAGGGGGAGCTTATTTAATTTAGCAAAGACGATGGTATCAGTTCTCCATAAAGAACTAGAATACAAAGTGGAAACAATCCGAACTTCCAGTTGGTGAACGAACCATCCTGGAATATATTCTCTGCAAGGCTCGAAATTGCGACTCGGTCCACACGAAGTTTTACAGTTGTGATTGATTAATACAGTCTATCATTTATTAACTAGTGAAGAATGTAAAGGGGAAGGGGAACTTATTTGGGGGGGGGTGTAAAAGAGGATTTACGGTATTTACATTTGATGTTCATTTCGTGAATGTGTTTTCATGTCATATCTGTTTGAGACAAAGGCGCACATTTAGTTACTGTAGCATACTTTGAGAAACAAACTTGAAAGCAATGCTTATAATTATGTGATAAGTATCATGTTTGATTGGCAGAAAGACTGTCCAGTGCAAAAACAAACACCTGATAGCAGGTTATCATCATGACAAGCAACTATCTAAGTGCAAAAGGAGACAATATTCAGCACTCTTGTACATCTCAATAACACAAGTCACTGGCCATCATTAAACAAAAGGAGAAAAGTATTAATTCTATCCCAATGAATTAGAACAACTCTGCAATGAGCACGATCCTGGCGTGAATGAAGATATATTGTTCCATTCCATTTACAACAGTGAAAAATAATTTTCATCAATCAAGATTTCTAATCAAGAGAATTAGGGTAGTTGCCCTTCTATACAACCTCAGCTCTTTTTAGAAATCAGGTTAATGTTTTCTGTTTCTTACAACAAAAGAAGTAATAAAATGATTATGGTAGACGTACAGATTGTTTTATATGAAATTACTTTTCAAAACAAACACTTAGAACTCTACAATGACATAACAAATAAAAATTAGTAACTACAAATAACAAACAGCAAAAGAAATGAGCTTGATACATGTAAACAAACATCCGCATGCTAAAACATTATTTGTAGCATGCTGTAAAATGTCTAACAAACACCTGATAGCAGGTTATCATCATGACAAACAATTTCAAGAGTTTGGATTTCTCACCTGTTTGCCTGTGTACGACGAGGACGATGATGATGACCCCGATATGAAACTTTTGGATCTCTACGACTCGAATGTGAATCAGAATTAAAAGGAGGCAAAGTGGGACGCTTTAATTTGAAATCAAAGTTATGAAAGCTGTTCGACTACACGAAGTTCATTCATGAAACAAGACGATCCTGCCCAGCCGGAAACGCATTTTCAAAATTTGGACAATCAAAGCTGAAAGCCTTTGGGTATAATCAAGAGCAAGTTCCCTGCAGCTGTTCCCGTGGGCAAAGGAGTAATCCGATGTCAGTTTGCTGAAAGCTGAAATATGCTCGAAGGATTTGTAATATAAACACTCGATGTTTACATACGGTGGACATCCCAAACGGCGCTTTCAGTAACTTCACGCACAGAGTTTTGAAGGCAATTAAACAGAAGGTTTCATAATGTATCGGTCAAATCGAAGCTTCAACATGCCCGCCCCCCCGGGCAACCCCCCGGGCAACCCCCCGGGCAACCCCCCGGGCAACCCCCCGGGCATTTGACTTTTTTGAAAATTATTGTTCAAATTCCCCGCTACCCGGGCCAAAATGCCGTTCAAATGCCCCACACTGGGGTCCATTCAGGTGATCAAATGCCCCCACCCCGGGGACATTTCAAAGGCACAAAAATGACAGAAGGACGGCAGAAACGCCTTCGGTTGTCGAACAAAATCTTTATAAATATAACAAAAACTGAGAAACGCTGTTAGCGTATTTACTGCGAACAAAATTCTCGTGCAAAGCGGCGGAAATCGCTGCTACAAGGTCACTGAATGCTCAGCTTTTCTTAGTCATGCAACATACAAAGCATTCTATAAAAAAGATCCCACCTATTGAGATTACTACATCATCATCATCATGACATGCATCATCGCTCACCTTATTAATTAACTTACTTGCAGTATTTTTGAGCTATTTTGAAAAAATAGCTCATATGTCAGTGGTGTGAGCGTATGTATCTTTGTCGCTTTGTAACTTTGTATGTTCGGATGTTTGTTGTAAGATCCAATAAGGTTGAAGGTACTATTAGTTGATGCTTAGGAACCAATGAGATCTTAGCATCTACTTAAACATGACATTGGTAAAGGTCGAACAAGGGCACTTTGAGACCGCCATCTTGATTCTTCACAATTTTTTCGTCTTTTATTACGGCTACAGGTGTTTGGAAGAATTACATTAAATATCTTCATGATTCAAACGCTGTGTACAGTGATGCAGCTGTTTAAGGGTTCATATTTTAGTATGGATGCTGCTTCGAGGCATTTCTGACCTAATTCGGCTATCGGTACAACGCACGTCAGTATGAGTTCTGTTTCACCCGCTACAACTGGGTAGAGTATAAAAGATCATATATTTTCAAAGCTCTTCCAATGAAGCAATAATTGATATTTAGATATAGACTTTAATTCGAAAGTATGCACCCTACAAAATGTGGTTTTAGAAGTTTAAAAAGGCAGCTTATTTTTGTGAAAGCTGTACCGAGTATTGTTAATCCTGTAAACAAGCTTTAAAAATATCATTCTCTCGCTTACAAAGTTCAACAGACCTTTTTCGTTCTGGCAAAACAAAAAAAAGAATAATAAGTGAACAACATAAAACATCCTTCCTGCATACTAAGTATTATAGTTTCTGAACCCTATTTTATTTAGTAAAGATGAGTAACTTAAGTAGAAACAGTAGCGTTAGGGAATAAAATTGGAAGAAGCTAGTTGACACAAAATTAGATACTGTTGTATTGAGTGGAGTAACATGATACAAGTAGAAATATATTTCGGCAGTTTGATAATTTTCTTGGTAGTTAATAAATGTTACGCTATCAACCTTGACGTTGCATGAAACATAATTTAATTGCAGGTGTTGTAATAAAGCCGAGGTGATTTCTTAAAATCGCTTAAGAAAATTTTGTTGTGAAACAATTTGCCTTTTTTTTTTTACGTACGAATTGTAAAAGGGCCAAAGACCAACATCTTCACATGCAAATTGTGTGCATGAGTTATTTTTATAATTCTGTTTCCTAGATTACTGTGTGATAACTCGAATTCCTTCACGTACGAACCACGAAAGGGGGCAAAGTCCAACACTTTCATGTGCCAGCTGTGTGACTGTACATCTCATGCAGATTGGCTTTTCACAATGATAAATAGTAACTTGAACGTATGAAGACCTGTTTCGTTTTGTAACCAATGCCTTAAAAGAGGCTCTTGTCTTTTAAGAAGCAATAGCTTTTAAAACATGAAGAAATAAGTTGTCGGAGTTCACGTGAAAACCTCGTGAATTATGATGATGCAGCCATATACCACAATGATAAAAATCCTGGTATTTCCTAACTATTCAGTATTCGATGAGTCACATTTTGGCTTAAGAAACTCCGCGGAAACCCTAGAGTTTTCCTTCTAATCAACGTTTGGTGAGTAGAAATTTACTTTACTTCAACAATTTGTTTAACTTGCACCAGATGTAACAGGGAAAGACAGAGGAAAGTGAATATATAGGTTTAGGATCGACTCAGCTGAGCGTTTCGCGTTTTCATTTATGTAGCGCAATACCCAATTTCGCACAAAAACCAAATCTACATTTAGAATGAAAAAGGTAGATTCATCACTCTTGGTAAGGTTACACCGAAGTATTATAGTTACACTGAAGCATTCAAAATAGCTCATGCACGTTTAACGTACCTATGTTATTCTATGTTGTTGTATTGAATCGCCGGTAGAGGTATAGAAATACGTTCATACATTCAAAGCCTGACTCCAATATTAAAAATTTTGAAATTTAAATACTTCAAATACGCCACAAAGCTTGTTTAAGCCCTTTCCTCGTAACCAATTGGCCACAAAGGCACAATCTTTTCCACGAAAATCCTCTAACACCGGGTCCCCCATTGCTCGCCACGCCAAAGATTTTACATGAAATCGAGGATGCAGTTCAAATTCCCCACCCCCTGGAAAACTCTGATAATCAAATTCCCTCCTCCCCGGGACGGCAAAGGTGTCAAATGCCCGGGGTTTGCCCGGGGGTGGGGGGGGGGGGCATGTTGAAGCTTCGATTTGACCGATACATAGGTTTCACATAAGGTTTCTTGCTAAATTTGATTATTTCTTTTTCTACGAACAGCAGTCTTGTAGGTCCTTGTAGTTTAACATCTCTCTCTCTCTCGCGCGCGCTCAGCCGCCATTCTTCGATCTTCTTATCTTCAATTTTCTCGGGTTTGCGCAGGCGCAGTTACGCAAAAGAGGCCAAATTACGTCATTATCCACTAGCCAATCAGCGGTTTTTGCGCTCTGTCCTCAATTCTTCATATCCTACTCAGCCTCATTCATTAATATGCGGGTCTTTTTAGATTTCTTAAAATTTACATAGCATCTTCAATCCTCGTCAAATTTCGCTGAAACAGTACACTAAAAGTGCGGTTTTTCATATCACGCTTTCTCAACCAAAGTATTTACGTTTTCTTCTGTGTGCTTCTTCTTCTTCCCCAATGTTCAGATTGGCGTTTTTTTTTTTCAAATGGATGATGCGTAAACCAACATTAGGGAGGGCATAACTTGACAAGTGGTTCAACAAATATGACGAGTATTGATGCAGCAGAAACATAAAAACAATGAACGAATACCCATACACTGATAAAATGATTTTAAAATGCTGAGTTAAAGTGTACTACATTTACAAAATTTTCAAACATTACGGAAAATAACTTCAAAAAGGAAACGTTGAGATTACGAGTTTACAAAATAGACAAGACGCCTATCATAGGCGTACATTGGGCTGCGCGATGAAGATGACCCATACTATTCATGGTGCCTTAGCCTGCGATGCAGCTGGCCCTGGACGCACTCGTCTGAACCATTTGTATAGTCCGTCTGCGAATTAGTGCATAAAAGCTCGTTCTAATAGCCTGCAGAGTCGTAAGGACATATGTGAGCGTTTCAGATAGGCGGGTTTCTTACAGGTTTCTTACGAGTCTCACGATTGACCTAATTTTTACGTGTGCGTGACGGTTGGGCGCAGTGACATCTGCAAATTCACAGAAGGGAGTCGGCAAGGATCGTTTACAGTAAACAATGATAGAGCAGTTCGAACTTTAAAGCCTTCTTCTAAACAAAAAAATGCTTTGAGATAATTCCTTCAAGGCCAGAATTTGCCTGTAAATTTGCCGGCTGGTTTTCCAACGTCTCAATCGCTGCAGATGCACTACCGCGTATTCTGCAATCTAGCCGACAGTTCTAGAGTCAAAAGAAATCAGGAAATCATGATATCCCAGGTATAAAAAAAATTACACACATGTAGCTATTCAGGTCCAGGTATTTCGTTGAAAACAAAAGAAACTAAGGTTATTTAGCCGCAATAAAAAAGCTTAAGGACAGAAGTAAAAGAAAATCATTTATGCATCTCTGATGAAATCCTCTCAGAAAACATTTGCCAAAAAATAAACCACAGGAACTAATTACTCAATATGCATGGAACAGACCAGCTTCACAACCTCTAAATGTAGCTAAATGTGACACAAAGTGGCAAAAAAAAAATTTGCTCAGTCAAATTGTAGAATACTCCATGCACAGTAAAATTAAGCGACAAGAGAGCAAGAAAAACATCTGTTGTTCAAGCTACTCTAAGGTCACGTTTCACACTTTCACGAGCTCAAACTCTCTTGTCACGAACTAATTAGTCATGTTGTCCTGTCAACACTTAATTCAAATCGGACTAATCACAAGCTGCATACACCACTGAACAAAAACCCATTAAAATCTTGTGAATTTATTGCGGGGAAATTCACGAGATTTTTATGCCTTATTCACCAGATTTTCATGGCCAAAACTAAGGGTATTTTCATGGGTTCAACCTATGAAAATACCATTAAAAAAGCGATGAAAATACTTTGAAAAATTCCCAATTAATGGCTCATGAAACAGTCTAGATGATAAGAAATGCAAAGAAAAACACATGAAAAAGCCATGACTTTTTTTTAATGATTCATGAATTTGACTTGTTATGGGATTTTCATGGTGTTCAGGAAAAGTCCATGAAATATATCCAGATTTTTCATGGTGTGCAAATTCATGGTAATGTAATGGGATGGAAAATTCATGAGTCATGATTATCCCCTTAACGGGGAATTTTTAATGGGCCATGAAGATTCTTAGAGTACTTTTCTGACTTTTTCACAGCATTTTTATGGCCCATGAAATGTATTTTGTGCCTCGTCCTCTGACATTTTCATGGGTTAAAGTAATGGCTTAATGGTACCATGAAAATGGCATTAAAATTCCATTGAAAGTCAATCATTTCGAAAACTATGCTTACCTTAAAATCTTTCTCACTGATATACAATTTACAACCAAAACCAACAGGAGCATCAATCTGTTTTCATAATAAATTTATTCTACCCACTAAGGTGATAGATACAGAAAGTCATTTCAGTCCTTTAGTTACAAAAGCATAAGAATCTTAAATTCATATGAATTTAAAATAAATAGACTTGAGCTTCTTTTTCACTAATATTTTGAGTCACTGCCATGCTAAAATCATATAATATAATCATCATTTGTTTAAATGTTTCATAACTTTCATACTTATCATTAAAATTACCCTAAAATCTAAATTTGAATTCTCTTTTGTCACCCCTGTTCATTTCCTACAGAAGTAGTGGGGAGAAGTTGATAAAATAATATCGAACAAAATCGTCTTGTATGATCATGTCTGTAATTCTCATGACCACTCTGTTTTACAAAGCATTGATATTACAAGGAGAAATTTGATGCTGATCACCCTTAGGGCTTAAAGTGTTAACCTTGCTTTATTTCCCAATAATACCTTTAAATCAATTTACAATATAACACAGCTTTAGAGTGATTTTACTTACCCTGTGAAATATAGACACTGTAGTAGGCTACTACGCACTACCATTTCGCATGCAAAAATAGTAACATTAAAACAAAACGAATAAAAAAATATATGTATCTATGTCAAAACACTAATTCCATTATATTCTTTTGTGCACTTGTAACTATTTGACATTAATTGTTAAGAAAAATCACTCTAATATTTTGTAAGCAGCAATGTATTAAAATTACCTTAAGTGTCGTTACTATGTAATAACTATAGGCCTTATATTTCTCTTTGTATTATTGTAAATATTGTTGGCTTAAAAATGTTCACTTTTCAGATCAAAGAATAGGTTGTTCCATCCTTCTTAACTGATGGTGTAGAGAAAAAGATATATTTTAGGCTTATTTCTTACTTTTCCTCGAAAAGTTAAAAGTTAGGAACGGAGGTTACCAAAGTCCTAGCATTATTGTTGTGTGAAAAACTGCTCGTTTACTTCAGTTCTTGATTGGAAATAAATGAACTAAAAATTAAATGCTTGTACTTGTAGTAGACATGGCGTTTGAAGATATTTAATAAATCACTTCGTCTTTAATCTTGACAGCTCTGACATGTCGGTGCCTGCCAGAATATTATAAGTATTCAATTTGTAGGATTCCATCGACCATTTGCAACAAAGACTACAATTATGTCTGCAGTAAACAAAAAGGGGCCAATAAATGGTATTTCATTGCATCACTCCTTAAAGTTTCCTGCTCACATCGGCAAGATTTAACTAAAATCTCCAGCTTAAGTTACCATCAGATGACCCATGTTACAACGAAAACAAAATCAGCCGGAACATGCCTTTACCATCCACAATCCAGCTGACTTATTGTTCTCCAACTTGATTGGAAGCACGCTTCATGTGGAAAACAAAACAAATGAACAATCCGCCTTTAATATAACCCCGATTTGGGTGCAAAATATATGCTATTATAAAATAACTGAGATGGCACGCGCGCTCTGATTGGCCGAGAGGAGTGTTTGCATGAGAGTATGTAAACATGGTTGTGGCGTCAAGTTGTTTGGCTTTTCGCGCGCTAATCACGCAAGTACGAATTTGAAAACGTTTTCGAGTTCAAAACTCGACAACTGTACTTTATTTACCCATTCCTTTGTCGGCTGAAACATGGAAAATCGTTTCAAAGAAGGTGAGTCAATTTTTCTTCGCTTAAGCCGGCATTTTGAGCGAGAAAAATCCGTATTTTGCAAAGCATCTTTCTGCAAAACAAGAACTGATTACCCGTGCAAGACTTCGTGGACAAGATTTTGCGACTGGAAAGAATTTCTCTTTTAATCAGTGCCATACAAAACGTTTTGCGTTTTTTCTCGTGAAAGTTATTTTATAAAAGCAATAGAAAACTTTTTCCTGTGTTTGCATAGCCTGATATAAACACTCGAGGCGTTGGGAGAATTCTCCACGGTTATGCAAACCCGAGACGAAGTCGAGGGTTTGCATAACTGTCTCGAATTCTCCCAACCCCTCTCGTGTTTATATCAGGCTATGAAAACACAGAAAACGTTTTCTATTGCCTAATTGTTGAGTCCGCGTGAATTTGAACTGATCTAACGGAACTTCATTTTTCGCTTTTCTATTGGTTCAAAAGGTGCACGTGACGACGGGAGTTACTTTGTGGGAAACTGGTAACTAGTCAGCTCAAACATCAAACATTGCGGGTAATACGTTCGGTGATCTAGTTTAGACAGTTTAGTGAGTCTAAAAAGCGGTGGCTTTAAGAGCCGAGTGAAATGATCCAAAGCTTTTGAGGTGTCAGCAGCAAGGGAAAAAAATTCGCATTGTTTTTTGCAAGAAATGATGGCCTTACTTACAAAGCTTCAGCGAAAGACGTGTTGTTGACATTGTTTGGACTAGCTCAGGTACGATGGCTTTACTTACAAAGCTTCAACGAAAGAGATATTGTAGACATTGTTTGGACTAGCTCAGGTACGAGAAGACACTTTGAATATCCCAGTTGCTTACTACACTTGTGGATCAAAAGCTTTTTTTTCCGATAAGAAAATTTCACGCGAAACATTTCAGAATTTACGAAGCTAACTTGGCGATCGCTGAGGTACATGTAGACTTCAGTATTATCGACAGTGAATAGGTAACTCGAGCAGAGGCCCTTTGATCTTCCCAAGAGAAATTGAAGACAATGCTTATGCAAAATTTTGGGGTGACAAACAAAGAGCGTTATGGTATGTTACGGCATACCAATGTTTAATCTTACTCTTTCTAGGTAGTTTGGGAGCCTGCAGCCTGATATTAGGGAGTTTAAGATACGGCGACTACGGACTACGACTACGGTTAAACATGCTACTGCGCATAATCAAAACCACGTGACTGTTCATTTTTCCCGCGTAGTCCTACGGCTACGGTGAGTTGTTGAGCTGTTTCCCGTAGTCGGGACTACGGAGAACATTTTGCTCGTATTTTGCCGTCTCGGTAATTCAAGAATCTCGTCTTTTCGTAAAAAAGAAAGGATGATCAATTTAACTTGACAGTAAACTCTTTCTCATTCTCAGCCTTGCTAAACAGCCAAAAATTAAATGACCATATTTTCTGGTCAGGCTTACCTATTTTTTACAAAGTGTTCACAGTTGTGCAGAGAGCTATACCTCATTTAAGTTGATTAACAAGAACATACAAAGCCATACAGGATGTCACGTTAAACCAATGTATGAATCTTCTAGTACCAGGTATAAACTTTAAAAGAAATATGGACTGCAATCAGTATGTAGGGTATTTAAAGGATTCTGGCTACATCCCAGGCTTTCATTGATGATTGTCAGCTGGAATCCTCATTAAGCTTCACCAGATTATAAGATGATACTTATGCTACTGCTTTTCATATATCATACACAGCTTTTATGCATATATTTACAAAGTTATTTAACTTTCCACTACTAGTAAACGTTTTTTGTAAATCATTAGCCAGCTTAAAACTAAAAAATTAATATTCTCTTATTATTTTTTTGTATTTCTTTGACTCGCCTGGAAGTGTAAGACTAAAATTTACTATTTCATGAAAAGTTTTTCGTGGATTCATTGTTTGTTCTTTTAGTTAATGTCACTTACTTTGTGGACCAAAACGCTAACAATCAATATGGGATTTTTAAGACCCTGTGGCCCCATGCCTCTGGAATTTCTGCCATGCATAGCATTGTAGCTTTTTTGTTAGGCAGCTAGTTAGTGCATGTTCAGGTTGTTCCTTGTAGTTCCATTGACAGTCCAATTCTGACTCCAAGGCATGAAAATGTTAAGTAAGAAAAACCCCATCGCATCTTTAGTGCTGAAATACCCTTACCACAGAGCCGGATATTGGAAATTCCAGAAGAATGGGACGGGTCAATTACATATTTTTTTTAAAGGTAAAGACCCTGTTTTCCTTTCAAATTACTATCTTTTAAACTTTTGAAATCCGTATTCTTTGGCGTCTTCCCTTTGTGGAGTAATTGTGAAATTACACTGAGAGTAGGATAGGATATTAAAATTTGTATCCACTTGACATTGGCGAGATTGGGTGAGTTTGTGCGAGATAATGTGAGTTTAGGCGAGTTAAGGCGAGATAAGGAAATTTTCAAAGAACATAATCTCAAGTTGCGAGTTAGGGCGAGTTAAGGTCCCAGAATAGGCCTAAGCTTGAAGACTCGGGGTTTTTAGGGACACTTTAATACTTGTCTTCGTGAATGAAAATTGTTGTCTCTGTATATGTTTCACCGAATTATATTTCTTTTATTAATTGTTAATACTGAGTCTCTCTTGTAATTTTAATCGCTGTGCCGTTTGTTTTCAGTCGTTCAGTGAACATCGCTTGCAAGAGTACTCAAAATGCCGTGCTTATCACTGAAACACTTTTGAAGATTACACATCGATAAAACGATTAAATGAACAATAACCATAATAAATTCTTTATTATGTTGAAGCGTAACTCTGTTAATGTTCATTAAAACACGAACACAGCTTGCTCTGCAAACGTGAGAACCGGCTGGCCATATATTCTAGGTGATTTTGAAAATTTTTTTAACTGTTTTATAGCTAAAAGCCCACTGGTGCTTCGATCGATCGTCCTGAACACTGAGTGAGTGCACTTTGTATTGCAAAATTGTGAAATACTGCATTCTGTCTGAGGTCTGTGTGATAAAAACAGTGCCTCATAGCACTGTTTCACCTCAGATGTGATGTTTAAATGGTATAAAAGGTTGGTTTACACGCACCCAGATTTGTTCGCAATATTTTGTAAAGTAAACTTGTCGAACGCAAAAAATTTGGCCTGATTTTTTTTCCAGGCCTAATTAATCTAGGTGATCAAGAGCCATTATGGCTCTTAAAATGTGATCGAAGATGATTGCTATTTTGGGGGTGTACATATGAGGCTATCTTGGGCTGTTTGCAAATTATTGTTGTCTAAAATCACGTAGCCTTTCTCTCAAAAGTCACATGAATGTGCTCTAAAGTTAACTGAATTTTTTAATACAAGTTTATTGTTTGATTTAAATTATAAATTTATTCTATATATTATTAAATTTTCCATAATTAGTTATAGCTTTGGGAAGGTACTATGACTGTTTAGCTGCAGATCGTGTATTTTAATGATGGATCTCACTTGCTTTAGAGAAAAGTGCATCACAAGCAGAAGGTAATGAGGAATTTTTGAATCTGTATATAAAAACTGCAATATGATATGATATCAAATCTTCCAGCTTAATTTTCTAAATATAGGACTCGAGTGTTCATGAAAACTTGTAAATGTCATAAGGCGAATAGCTCTTTTCTGTAAAATAAAGAGAGGTTGGAGAGTTAATAATAATAACTTTATTTATATAGCGCTCATATCCTGAGCTCATGGCGCTTGAAAATGTATAAAAAGGGGAAAACGAAATAATTTACATATCACAAGCTTAAAAATCTATTTACAATCATTATATTACAGGTCTTAAAATCATAAAGTTTACAAAACCAATGACCCACTCTCTAAAAATTGCCTAAAAAGATACGTTTTCAATTCTTTCTTAAAATCAGTTAAAGATGGTGACTTACGCAAATCTACTGGTAGTGAATTCCACAGTTTAGGAGCACACACTGAAAAAGCCTTGTCCCCGTAAGTTTTCGTGATTGATCGAGGTTGGTCTAACAGCTGCTTAGATGCAGACCGCAAGACCCTGGAATTCGATTGATAACTCAGTCTGTCCGCCAGATAGCTAGGGGAAAGGTTGTTAAGTGATTTGAAAACTAGCAAAAGAGTTTTAAAAACAATACGGTAACTAACCGGAAGCCAGTGAAGGCCAAATAAGACAGGTGTAATGTGATCAAATTTACGAATCTTCGAAACAATTCTGGCGGCAGTGTTCTGAACGTATTGAAGCTTCTTCATCTGCTTTTTCCTACAGCCTTAGAGTAAGGAATTGCAATAGTCTAGTTTAGATGTTATGAAAGCATGCACAGCAATTTCACTAGTCTCCCGTGTGAGATATTTTCTAATCTTTGATAAGTTTTTAAGCTGGTTAAACGATGATCTGCAAATGTCTGAGACGTGCACATCCAATAACATGTTGTCATCAAGTACTACTCCCAGACTCCTAGCATTGGCGGTGGTTGTCAGCCTCTCATTACCGATGCTGAAGTAGCTGGAGAGTGGACGAGTATGGTACTTCGAGTAAATAAGCATAATTTCTGTTTCGTCGTGATTGAGTTTCAGCTCGTTTACGTCCATCCAATGACATATATCAGCGGCACAGTTCTCTACGCGCAGCCTTGCAACATGAACATCACAATCCTTGA